CGAATGTAGGCTGCCTTCTGATTGACATTTAGAGATCTTGGCCTTGTTCCTGCTCGGGAAATAACCCCTATGCCCCAGAATGGCACGGAAGAGCCTGTACGATATTGCTGTTCTGAGTCGGCTGCCTCAAATAGAGACACAGTGGCACGGAGCCTCCGATCAGTGTTGGATCTGCTCTGACATTTCAGGGTCCGGCCTTTGGGATGTGATCCATCCATGCGATCTCTGGCCTGCCCTTCGGACCCTTCAATCAGGCCATTGATCTTTAGCCCCAAGGGACCAAAGTAGGACACTCGGAATCCATGGGAACCTCGGAGTCTAAGAGGTAGGGAGGGAGGGAGTCGTGTTTAATTTGGTTTCCCGCGAAAATAAAGCTTTGGGGCCCATGTGACGGGCCCCTGGAATTTTACATCGCCTTAAAATAAATGTTTCGTCCGTTTGTAGTGTTCTGATTGAAATAGGTTCACTCAAGAAATGTTATGATGCCCCGGAAACAAGGTTCAGCATGCCTTTTCATCCAAGGTTCCGAACCAGGATTTTGTCAGAGTGTAAGGCAAGGAAATTGTGATGACCCTATGCTGTGGTGCCGCTTGGAAGGGGAGTTTCGGACCTTCTTCAATGGTTCTTTCAATCGCCCACTTGCATTTGGTGCCGCAAGGAAAAAAATGGAGTGGTGGTCCGAAAGAAACGTGTTCCTTGGCCGAATGAACCGATGCAGGATTGCGTTAACGGCGAGGCACGGGCATTGTGATGACTCCTGGATAAAACTGCGCGTCTGTGAAGCCAGAGATACGAGGTTCTATTCCTCGTGGTGCCCACCCTTCCTACCAGGGTGAGAGGCAAGCGACGCCATATAGCCTCAGCGGCTAAGTTCTCCGTGAAGCCCCAATGACAACGAAGGCTCTCGGCGCCTATTTCCCTGAACAGGGGACTCCTTCCCTGAACGGTCCGATTCATAATTTTTGCAAAGTAAAAAGCACACCGATCGTAATGCCGCTGGATTTAGTGCCCTCTAAAATTATGATTTTGGTCTTTGTTGATGGCTCGTTTTGATTTAGTACCCCTTGAAAATCAAGCTGATACTGCCCCGCAAGAAAGGTTTTTTGTGCCTCCTTGCCCCAGGGTCCGATCCAGGATTCTTTCAGCGCGGAATATCAACAAAGTTGTGTCCCCTGGAATTCATGGCTCTTCCAGAATAAAGGACATGGCCCTTTCTAGTACTCTCTGGAATTGGGTGCTTCTTGAAAATAAAGACTCTGTGTTGCTCCGAAATGAAGGATTTGGTACTCCCTCGCCGAATGGGCCGACACAGCGTTTCGTCAAGGGCACGGCACGAGCGTCGTGGTGCCCCTGCAATTTCGTGTCTCATAGAAATACAGGTTATGTGGTGCCGCAATGATGGTATTGCTGCCCCTTTAAAATGAGATCTGGTAAGCCTTTGGGGCATTAACATATCATGGGGCCCATAGGGGAAGGAAATGACCTTTTGGCCCTTCCCCTCCTGACCTGCCCTCGCTTTGTGATTCCTCAGGAACTATGTGCCTCTGGAAAATAAAAGCTGTGATGCGTGGTAATTAATTTTTTTGGTGCTCGTTCGTGGAAGTGACAGATCCAGAATTTTGCAAAGGTGAAAGGTATAGATATTGTGGTGTCCATGGATTTTGGACGCTGATTAAAACCAAGTTTTAGGAAATGTTAATCATCCACTTAGATAAGGGGCCTCTTTAAAAAAGGTTATGATGCCAAAAAACGAAAGTTATGGTGTTCCAAACTGACCATTTTGGTGTCCTCTAGCCCAAAGGGCTAATCAAGGATTTCGTCAACACACAACATTGCTGCATCCATGAAATTTGGTGCCGTTAGAGAATGAAGGTTCTTGGCCGGTTATGGTGTCAACGGGTTTCGGTGCCTACCGAAAATAAATGTTTGTAGTCACTTGTGGTGCCCGTGAAATTCTGGAGTCTGTTGAAAATAAAGGCTTTGTGGACCTGAAATAAGGATTTCGTCGGCCCCTCACCATGACATTTGGGTGCCACCTGGCCCTAAGGGACGGGGAGCAAAGTTCCATTCACCCCCACCTCGCACCCCATACCACTCTGGATCCGCCATTCGTCAAAGTTGGTTGACAAGATACGCCTCATCGCCTCAAAGCGTAACTCGTCGTTCCTTTCCTAATTTGCCACTCAGCTCCATGCGTAAGCTCCATTTATGTCAATTTGGCGTGGGTATGATTAAATACCGTGCTATATTTCTGACTGTAAAACCCAATTCTTAGTTCCGAAAAGCGTCGTTTTTACTGGCGCCTCTTTCGCACGAGACATGTGTGTACTGGGCCATGCTGCCTCTAAACTGTTCCCACCCAGGCTCTAAACGCATGTTTCCTTCAAATAAACAAGTGCCCAGCAGCGGCTCAGGTACGCACGCTGTGCTGCTACATGAGGCCCGCTGCTAAACGCCTATTGCATACTCCATCGCGCCTCCCGTTTCAAGAACATTTGCAGTATGCAGCGCTCAATGTCATCTCTACTACCCTTGCCTTGAGCACACGCTGTGCGTACCTTCATTACCAAAGGCTTAGCAAAACAATGAAGCGAACTGTGCATATTAAACAGTTTTGTCAGCACATCTATTATATATATATATATATATATATATATATATATATATATATATATATATACACTACACTATGCGACACTACACTACGCGAGAAGCCTGGTTCACTGCAGTCTGACTTACGCGGTTACGGCCACATTGGTTGCAGCGGCCGATCAGCTGATCATTCGCGATATTTTCATTCGTGCCAAGCCGCCTGTCGTCAAGCGCGTGAGGTTCGGCGCATGAATGAAAATGTTCTAATGACATTCATAATTGGTCGGGCTGGGACGTTTCCCAATTTGACTTTCTCAAGCGCCGTAGTCGTCGAGCACCGGACGCCAAACAGATCATGACTTGCCGCGTCAGCGTTACTTTTCGGAGGCTGGCTAAGTGCGAGATGAAACAAGAAGCCAGCAAATTTGGTAGGAAGCAAGCATTCTCGCCTCACATGGTTGTATTTATCGACTTATTAATGATCACCTTTTCACGAAACATCATTGCCGATTCCAAATGCAGCAATAACATAATGTGTAGGTCAGCGAGAGTAGGTACTTTCATATACGTACGTACGACAAAATACATGCAGAAGGGATATCACCACCAACCACATATTTGCAAGCCTCACATGATATCAACTGACACATTCGCGCTCTACTTCTTGGTTGCATGTGTCTCCCGTGATAAAACACGGTTTGCAACACGATAAGATGCCGTGCCTCTGTTATCTTAACCGAGACATGCATCAGAGAAAACCTGCCTCCGCCTCAAATGGTGGAGAAATCAAATTAAAGGGCAGAACCTGCCGCCATTACGCGCCAGGGATGTCACTTGATGTCACGTGTCATGTCAGGTGCCAGAGATCAAAGCTTTGGATTATTTAATGTGCCTGCTGCCAAGGGCGTGCTGACGCGGCAAAGTTTGCGTGCTCAAACGAAACGCTGTCCATATCCATGCACAGTAGTTTCACTGGGCAGTGCTGTACAGTATGACGTCACTCGTCGGCTGAGACGAGCAAAATCGGCTACGGTAGCCCTCTATCGGGCAATATCCGAGCCATTACGTAAAGGGTTGCGCGGAAGTGGGACAGTTCCTAATCCCTGGATCTCAGGAACGCTGGACTTTACAAACGCTGGACGTTTTGAGCCCTGGATGCTGCGGTTCGGGACGCTGCGCGCCTGGACTTTCTGATTCTCCTTTATCCAGGGACTTTAGGTGGTTTCTGGATGTTGTAACCCCTGCATGCTGCGATTCTGGACGTTTTGACCGATGGACGTTATGAACATTAGACGTTTGAATACGGATCCGAATATCCACTAACGCCCCTGACTGTTACATGGTTTAATAGAAGGGCACGAATAAGTCATCGTAAAATTAAATGGACCCGCTGTTTCCTTCATACAGTCATTTAATTCTTACTTGATTTAAATTCTGTTTGCCTCTAGATGCATGATGAATTGTATCTTCTGATAGTTTCAAGCTTCTTTTTTTATTGAAACAAGTTCAACATACAAAAGTGAGCTAAATTGAGGAAACCATTCAGGCAGTACATGGCGTCTTAATTCAAACAAAAATCTGAAAAGTGGCCTAAATACGGTGGCTTTTTGTGGCAGGGGGGGGGGGGCGGGAGGGCTTCAGGGGGAAATACACTAAGGCTTGGTATTTTCGATAATGAAGTCCTTGATCCGCTCTTGATCCCATGATCTCACGGTGAAGCTCCCGTGACACCATGCCCACGGGCACACAACGGCTGTGGCAAGTCACTTATGGCGTACAGCTGTTATCATCATCCACCTGCTTTCCAAGTCGAAGTGAACAGATGTTCAGCTACCAATTGCTGTTGTCCGGATGTCTGTTGCCTTCTGTGCGTTGTTTGGCATTTCAGACGCTTCAATAAAACGTCCTGACAACCGGTGACAGCATCATGTTGGCACAATTACGTCTCCTACTTATGACCACTGCTGCGACGTTTCTGAATCTACGAACTCCGGGTGCAGTGAACTCCGTTCCTTCCTGCAGTTTTCCGGGGACAGTGAACTTTGTTTCCAGCTGAACCCAATAAATATTATCACCACAACGTTTGCGAGCTATCCTTTGTTTTACCTCTGTGTATCTTTAATATTCCTCTTTGAAAATGAAGGCATGACACATGTTTTGAGCAGCTGGCTTGTCGAGTGATCGGGGCAGTGTGTGGAGCCGGGCCAGCAATATCACCCCCAGCAACAAACATGACCCAGCGGGCTTGTCCTAATTTTGGGAATTCGTCTCAAGGCATAGGCCAGGGATGTTCCTCGAAATATGGATAAAAACACCACCCGGTTTTTCCTGTTGTCCTCATCAGTGTATCCTACTGAACACCCCGAACCGATGTCACAGCGCGCCGCGTGCCAGGCGGTCGCAGTGCGATGCCACAAATCCTGGACTCGCGGGACGACGGTGTATCCCCGCACCGGTTTGACCAGTGCCACCTGCCGGCTGGCGAGGTAACGACGAAGCAGACGGCGGCGCTGCCAGGTAACTGGATGGCCTCCCGTCGTCGAAGCAGGGCAGCGATGACACCTGTCTGGCTGCTTCTTCTGTGTGGCGTGGTGGCAGCCGAGCGGTAAGTGGGCCTTTATGTCTCTCTTTCCCCCTCGGTGCCGACAATGGTGTGTTTGTAGGGGGGGGGGGGGCGTTCTGTGATGGGTGCTCTTGCGCTGCGCTGCTACCGGGCCCCTGCTGGATGTTTGTGCGCCGCCGGCTGCTGCCGTCACGCCTCCTCACAAGAGCGAATTTATAACGAGGAGCCCATTGGTCAACACACGAGCCAGATGATATTAGTGCACGACTCGGCAAGTTGTGGCTCCGGTACACCCGACATCAACACACACTCATGTGAGCCACAGAGCTAGGATGAAGCGGGTGACCGGTTCATTGGCGGAATGTTAGGTCCGGTCAGGCACCATGAACGGCTGGCTCCCCGTGCATGGCTGTGGGCCCTCAACCGCAGCATCCCACCTCCATCTTTTTTGCTTATGACAATATTCAAGCGGGGAAAAACGGAACAGAGTGCACTGATGACACGCCCAACTGGCAAGGACCCAACGCAACTGGCAAGGACCCAACGCAACTGGCGAATTACATTGGCAAGAGCCTGCTGGATAACAACCCCGGGAGCCCCTTCGGCCTTAACGTATCCATGCAGACTCCATGCATTCGGCGTCCCACCACGCTCACTCCATGCATACACATACGCTGGCGCCCACGTCAGCCCGCTTATTGGTTCGTACACGGTCCCCCCCCCCCCCCCCCCCCCCAGCCTTTATCCAGCGTCTTTGCACGATAATTGCCTCGTCTGCGTGAGTCCTCGTTAAACTAACATAAATTTGGGTATCACTTTCTAAGCATTGAATAAAGCTACGTTTAAGCCTTATCTAAATTTATCATGTTAACTTGTCAGTCAGTCCGACTTCATGGTTATGACACACTGCATTTAATTTGTCTTTGCTTGTTGTGGTTTATCGGATTTAAAGATATGTTGCAATGGTTTGTGAATGATTTGACCCTAGGTGGCAATTCAGACAGTTCCAATTTTTTTCGGTGGCAGAAAAGGCACTTTTTCACCTCTTGTCACCATGCCCACCGACGCCAGGCGAGACTGTCCTGTTGCCCCCCGACCGAATCACTTCAGCCTCGCTTTCACAATAAAGCATTTAAAACGCAGACCGCTAGCTGTATTTTTTTTAATCACCAGGACATAGACAAACCACGTGACACGTCACGCTACTCTCCTCCCTTCCTGCATGACGGGAGTGGGACCGAGACAGCATTGCCCGTCCGGCAGGGTCGCGTGGCCAGTGCCTCTCCCCCCTTAACTACACGGGAGGGAACAGGTGGCCGTGGCCCGCGCCCGCCCGGTAGGGAGGAGTCAAGTGATCTGGGAGCACCAGCCGCCCATGGCCCGGTAAGGATCGGGGCAATAGGCTGTGGACTCACACGTGCATGTTACTGCCGGTGTCCCGTCGTCCGCCAAGCCAGATGTCGCCGTCCGGCTGTCATCACCACTTCTCCGCGCTCCTTCCTCCTCGGGACTCGCTGGGAGACTTCCATCCTCAAGCGTCTCTCCTGGACTCTCCCGAAAGATTCCCGCAACTTCCCCGCACTCGACCCTTTTGGTTGATGTAATTCACAATAATATGTCCCAAATGCAATCGTAATTATGTGGCCGAGCCGCTCTCAATTTAGGCCGATGAATCTTAGTTGAGATATGTTTGGAAACAGTTGACATTGCTTCCTTTCTGGCCGATCACTGGCGTGCCTGTGCTGGACAATTTTGAAATCGATACGTAATTCGTAGCGTGTACCTTGGCTTATACGTGCACCCCAAACCATTGGTTACACGCCTGCATCCTTTCCGGTCGCCACCATCTGACATCGGTTTATCAAAACGCCCCCAAAGTGGAGGGTGCGCGGTTGGAGCACGATGCATGACATGACAGTACATGACAGCTTGCGCGAGACATGCCAATGCGTTCGTCCGTCTTTTCCTGGGTCAGACTATTTGTCTCGTGTCGGTGTGACGCCTGGTCGAGTCGAATTGTGCACTTTGAATTCCACACGTGTCTCTGCAACTAAATCATAGTGAATTTACCACGCTGATAAAATGCTGCGAGGGGTTAATTTGTGCAGGCATCGGAATGATACAAGCAATGTTACCTGATCAAACAGCTAGCAGCTGAATGCCTTGGGGATGCTACAGCACGCATTTCCAGTGATTGTGCCAATTATTGCTAACGGCTGTGATCAAGAGTTGCAAGGATTATGAGCTCATGAAAAGTTAACTGGCTGGTCTTGGACGGTCCGCTTAAGCCATAAGAGCTCGATTTCGTTGACCCCAAGTCCCCGGCTCGCGGTCTGGTTTGTATTAATGTCGCTATTGTAACTGGAACCTGATCCATTAAACGGTGCCCAACAAATAGCAGGTCAGCACCAGCGCTCCACCACAGACCGGTCGGCGGTGGTGCAGGTGTTTGGTGCTTGCCCATCCCCAGTGCTGATACCAACTAGACGGCCTCGGTGGGGACCGTCTTCTCCAGTCGGGGGGGGGGGGCGGGGGGGGGGGGCTCAACGAGCTTCCGAATATCCGATTACGACTATTGAGTCCAGCAAACGCGACCGCGGCGCTCGCGGGACTGCACGGTATTTCCCAGCGCCGTGCACGACATCTCTCCGACATGGGATTTTTGGTTAGATGTGTGTTTCATAGCGTGAAGAGCATACAGATTCCTGAAGTCATTCGCCAGCACACGAAGGACCAAAGCCGATCCTCAGGCCCGACATCACTGGGCGCGGCCGGTCGGTGTGCGAGAAAGATATCGGCAGATTCCCATGGATTCCTCCAAATGGATCTGACGAAAAATGGCCGCGGATTTTGGCTTAATCAGCATTCTTGTATGCGGTGCATACAGTTCTACTTGTACCATTTCCGCTTGGTTACAAACTGGGTGTTAGGCAGGGGGGTGCCGGTGGCGTTTCCGGAGTTGGAAGAATCTGTGGGATAAATGCGTTAAACATCTAATTCAAATGATTTGTGGGGTGCTCAGGTGCCCTAAAGCTCATACTGCACCCAAAGCCGAGCGTAGTGTGTGCACCTCAAATCCACCCACGCAGAGTGACTCGATTCGGCGGATATTGTAACGTCATGCGCAAGGGCGGAGTCACCAATTTTTGGTAGGAGAAACGAGATCGTAAAAACATCTCGGGAATAAACATCGAGTTAGAAATATTACGCTTTATAACTGGCGTTCTCGTAAATAAGAATTTCCTTAAAAACTCCTCATGTGTGTTGCGCTGTACCGCCGTGAGACATGGGGGTGCGTGGGGCCGGAATAGAGGCGTGGTTCGAAGCGCACAAATTTCTGAAAATTTAGCTTTGGCCCCGCGGTCATTGACTGGAAAAAAATGATCGGAGCGGCGATCATCCTCCCAACATGGAGGGAAGTCCGTTCCCTCATGTTGGCGACAAAAGTTAATGCCAGCTTCGTGGCGTCTTCTCAGCGCCGAACGTATTAATAATTGGGCCCATTGGCCATATCATGTATAATTGTACAAACATGTGTACAGTGGCAAAGTTTTGCTGGGTGACAACTTACTCTACAACTACAAAATTAAGCGACCTGAGGACAAATCAAGGGACCTCGAATTGTGACACCAGTGAGTTCACATACATGACAATCCACCCTGCGAGTTGGATGTGTTTAGCTCTCTCAGTTTTGGGGTTCTCGGGGGTAAAATTGACCCTCACCTGAGCGAAGGGTATTCAACCGGCTATCCGGGTGTGTGTTAAGTGTTAAGAGCACAGCCTCTTCCCCGCCATCACGGTGGCAGTGGCGTACGATATTTCGACGAGGGACATCGAGGATGGTTACTTGATCAAATGATCCTGTTGGGGGGGGGGGGGGGGCTTTGATGGGGACTCGACACATTCTGACTCAGGTACACCCGACATCAACACGCACGCGTGAGCTACAGCGCTAAGATGACGCGAATGACCAGAGCATTGGCGGAACAGTTGGCGCGGTCAGACCCCATGAACGGCTGTCTCCCCGTGCATGGCTGTCCGCCGTTAACCACGGTATCCCACTTAGACTTTATGTTTTCGACGCCCCACCACATTCACTCTAAGCATACACATACATTGGCGCCCCGTCAGCCCGTTTGTTCTTGGCTCGCGCACGGGCAGGAGCCCCCCTCCCCCCCGCCCTCCTTGCCCTCTCCTTTCCAGCACCTTGTTGCCATTGTAATTGCCACGTCCGCGCTAGTCCTTGTCGAACTAAATTACATTTCATTTCAGGTATTTCGGCCGTCCGGTGAAGCCAAATTCATGCCCTATTTAAAACACCCCAAATCAGTATTATTATCAGCCTGGCACCGATAAAAATATTGACTACGATACCGATGCGACAACTGGGCCGGCCTGAGGTTTCCCACAACTGAACGATAACTCGTCTCCTTGCCAGTCTCCAGTGTGACGGATCCCTATTTGGACGACGCTCCCTCGTGTCCTGTGCACGGTGGGGTGGCCCACCACTCCTTTGGTCACGCCCACGAAGACGTCGCCTCCGGCGCTTCTGCGCCCTCGCCTCCCACCTACCGGAGTAAGCTTTACAAAGCACCGCCCCGCGGCGCGTCCCTCAGAGGCCTGGAGGCAGACAGCGCACCTGATGGGACGGTTGAGTCCATTGGCAGACAGCTAGCCCCCGGCATGACCTGGGTTTACGCGTTTCAGTCCCCGTGGCCGGCGCGCTCTGGAGACTGGGCTTGACCGGCCTGTCGGACGACTTAGTCCCTTGTTGCCCTTACTTATGACATCGATGACGGGACCTCTATCCATGACGAACGTCCCGCCAACAAGGTCCTTAAGACCTGGCATACACCACATAAGGAGACAAATGGTAGTGTCTCGATCTCTCCCGAGGCGTTGCACACCAACGGATAGATCCAGTTGCCGCCGGGCGTAACCCTGCATTCCGAACGGTCCGAACTGGTCTTGGCCATGTTATATGACCAGCGTCTCCTCATGTTGTCACGCCTGAGGTCGAGTGAGCGGTAAATGAGCAAATCGACCGTCTCCTAGTCCAAGAAGAGCGTATCATGCCTTCGAGTCACGCTACCATCAAACATTCATTTGCATAAGAGAGGGACTGCAATCGTTTGGCTCCTCCTGAATCGTGACCAAAGCCGAGCCGCATCTTTCGGGTCGTGCCCGCCGTATATCTCCCTCAGCTACTATTACCATTTCCGTGTGGCTCGGTTCTCGTTCAAAGGGAAACCGGATGCGAATCGGCGAGGAGAAGGGAAGCCGGATACGAGTCGGCGAGGACAAGGCTGTCAGTCTGGTTGAAGCTTTACGAGCTGGCTCTAGACTTAAAAAGAGAGAAATAAAGACCATGCGTAAGCACATCCCGTTCACGTGCGCTGGACGAGATTCAGTTGAGAATTCTGCCGTTCATATAGCCCTTTGCCTGCAGCAGTAAGATGCCCCTGGTGTTCTACTCAAGGAGCCGTTTGTCCGGCGGAAGGGAATGGGGGGTGCCATTATTGTTGATTTGAATGGGCCGAAATGTGTTAAAAATGAGCATGGTTTTAAACTTTGGAAACCCCATGTTTGCCTAAGACTGTTCATTCTTTTCCAGAATCCATAAGTGAAACAAACCACATGAAAAAGTTTCAATGTTGGCGCCCCAGTATATGGGCAATGTTGGGAGCACGAACAGAGATGACGTGGTCTCTAAAGTCGAACAGCGTTGGCCACCGCAAGCAACACCAGGAAGCGGGACCGCGTGAATCTGTCCTTTGGACAGATAAACAGTCATAACAGCACGAAAAGCAAAGCTCCTACATTTACTCTTTCATTTACACCACCACATTCCAACACCATTTCGCGGTGTCGTAATGACCAATCCGTTCTTATCATCAATCTCAAAATCGTACAGGTAAACTTTATGCCCAGACTACCTTCTACATCCAAGATTTGAAATCCTGAACCGTTCAAAGGTACTTTTCTCAGAAGCGTCATTATTTTTGTCCACCCGTTAGCCACAGCTCAACATTAATCGTTAGACCAACGCTGCGCGACCTAAGGAGACTGTAACGCCTCGCGTCAAGGTTTTGTTGGTAAGATCTGCTTGCGCTTGTTTAAAACTACGTTACACAATTTGTATGAGTTATCTATAAAGTGTGGAAATGTATTTCTTTCAAAAGAGTCATCGTTTTCGTTCACCTGTTGACCACGACTCAATATTAGGTACTGTACCGACGCGGCACGGCCCATGGAGACTGCAACGCCTGGCGTCCAGGCTTTTGCTGCAAATATTTGCGAGCGCGCGTGTTCAAAACTACGTTACATAATTTGTATCACTGATCGATTCTGACTGAATGTGAAAAATCTACAGACACACATGGTTTGGCCATGTGACTTCACATCACTGACACACTTCGATCTGGAAGCCGCCTTCGCAGGCTCCTTAACACGCGCCCGGGCGGGGTTTAAATGGACCCCGCGAGGGTTTCTCCGGAATGGTGTCCGAACGGCGGGACATGGCCGCGCCAAATTTTGCAAAGCTGTAGAAATTTTTAATAGCAGATCGTATGCTAACAACAAATAGATGTACCTTGCAAGTTCACTGATCCACGACAGGTCCAAGTCAGGCCATGGATTCAACAGAGTTAATTTCCTTGGGAATTGTGAAATCTGGTGGAACAACCGAGTGTTTGACGGTGCCATGCATCTCTGAGATGCTTTCTTAGGCAACATAACAATTGAATGCCAAAATTTAATTGACCTAGGGTCGGGTATGAAGGTCAGACGAAGGTCAAAACCAGCCTGTTGTATACTCCAGGGCTTCCTTTATGATATAGTTTCTGGTGCTCATTTCGAATTTTTTGAAGGCAGGAACTGTATTAGACATCTACCATAGATTTCTTAGATGTCATAATAGGTCACTGATCTAAAATGGCCCAGGTCAATATTTCCTTTTTAGGAACATACTACCTAGCATAATATTTGTCGCTTATTCAATTGCAAAACTCAAAGCAGTCTTCTATTACATTGGTCACCATGACCTTTGAAAGGTCAAGCAAGTTCACACTGATCTTCCAAATTTGCCCTAAGTGAACTTGCGTACAGGCCAACACAGTTTGTAAAGTTAGTGTCTCTAGACCTCTTAGTCCCTGAGATTTTAGCTGGGGGTCAAATTGCCCCCCCCCCCCCCCTCACTCGAGCGAAGAGTATCCAACCGGCCACCCGGGCACGAGTTAATATGTCTGTGGAACCCAGATAAATTTTTGACAGAGCTGCATTTATTGGCTTAGAAGACACTGAGCCACTGTAGATTAGAAGTGCCGGTGATGTATTCCATACAGCCGTCCATCGCCTGACTTAGGCAAGTTATTATTGGCTTCAAAATACAAACATAATTGACCTGGCGGTAGCTCCTGCTTCTTGTTTCCGCTCTGGTTCCGAGGTGAAAATGAAGATAAAAGGAAGATATCCGTATCCCTTGTTAATAAGCCAGCTATATCCCGCGATTTTATTGGGGAGGAAAGATAACCGTGCGGGACTTTGCCCCTCCCCCTTACGGTTATCCCTGTGCAGCCAACACACCAACGCTGCCCCCCTCCCCCCCTCTTGGCAAATATCTGGCTAGGTCCCTGCCTACATACAAAAGCAGATCAAACCGGCTACGTTGAATTAGGGACGATTGGACGTCCGTGGGACCAATTTATGCCTAGGCAGGCAGCTTCGCGTAGGTTTTGGTTCTGCAGTAGTGTGGAGCAAGGGAAAGTAATTCGGGGAAAGTACTATTGCTGGTGTCCAATATATGTTTTTAAACACGTATAAATAATAACGCTGAACTATAAGCATGCTGCACAAACAGCCATATGATCAGTTCGCAGGCAGTCCTGCGGCACAGCCGGGCCAAGGTAGCGGCTGCCGACGGCGGACGGGAGCAGGGCTCAGATAGGGAATACATGACAGGAGGAATGGCCTTCGTTCCGAGACTTAGTTTTTTACAGGAGAAGCACAAGTTGCATGGTGTCTGTCATACCGTTTTGACAGTTAGCATTTGAAGCTTCCGAATTTGTTTCTGCCTAAAGTGCTGCGAGAAATCGTGTCTGTTTAAAAAGTCGGCGAAATTTAGGCGCATGAAAACTCTTGTGCTTTATGGGCTATCGATTCGAGTTCGAAATTTTGACCAGCCTGTGAGGCAGATACCTCCTCAATGACCGAAAATGCCGATTGCCGAACATTGCGGCACGTTAAACTTTCGCCCCTAAATTCTGGCCTTGCCTGGATTGCGCGACCAAATGTTGGGGTAAGGGCTCACACAACAAGCGCAGCTTATCGTGAGCTCTGATCCCAGAAATCCATCCATTCAAAAGAGCTCGGATCAAATCTTCAAGAAGCCTACCCGTTCGTGGAATTTCGGCTGCCCAGGGAAAACAATGTTGAAATGAAAGAATAATCCCGGGAAGCTGGAAAGCCTTATTTGCCGAATGTCATACATGAGTCGAATAGACAAGTTTGTGCACCAGTGAGAAAAAGCTGTAGCTTTATATCTAGTATGGAACTTTTACATTTAGGTATTCCCCAACTCTGTTATGTAAATCAACACGCGCCCGGGTGGCCGGCTAGATACTCTTCGCTCGAGTGGGGGAGGGGCAATTTGACCCCTGAGATCTCGGAAACTAAGAGGGCTAGAGACACAAAATTAAGAGGGTGCGTTGACCTGTACGTGAAGCTCACTTGAGTCAAAGTTTTAGCTTCCTAGGTCACGACCTTTGGGTCAAAAAGGTCAAACAAGTTCAAGTTTTAGGTTGGTCTCCAAAGTACCCCCAGAACGTAGATAACCGTTTCTAAGCAATAGCTCACATTCTCATTTAAAGTCAGTGACGTTGCATGACCTTTTGAAGGTCATGGTGACCAAATGATACAATATCGCTTTGAGTTTTTGCATTTGACTAAGCAGCAAAGATTACGCTAGGCAGGATGTTCCTAAAACCAAATGTTGACCAAGGTCATTTTAGGTCACTGACCTATTCTGGCCTATAAGAGTCCCATAGAAGGTGTACAATGCGGTTACTGCTATCAATATACTCGAAATGAGCACCATGAACTATCCCAAGCAGTAAACCCTAGGGCAATAAAACAGGCTGGTTTTGATCTTGGTGTGACCCTCATACCTGACCTTAGGTCAATGTCATTTGCTCATTCAACTGTTGCGTTGCCTAAGAAAGCATCTCAGATGGTATGGCTTCGTCTAACACGCCGTTGTTGGATCGGATTGAAGGATTCCCTAGAAATTGCCTTCGCTGAAACCATGACCTGATTTTGACCTGCCACAGGTCAGTGACCTTACAAGGTACATCTAAATATGTATATAAAATGATCCGCTATGCAATTTTCTACAGCTATGCAGGATTTGTCTTGGTTACGCCCCGCTGTTCGGAAATCATTCTGGAAAAATCTTCGGAGGGCCACCCAAGCGCCTGTTAAGAGCAGGCAATAGCCCCCATCTCTATCCCCATCCCCCAGTCATCGGGCGTGCTTCCTAGAGAAGCTCCTGAAATATTCCCTATGTCTGCCTCTCACTTTTTGAAACATTCCCAAACCTCTACGTGTTTACAGCACATGTTTATGTAATTATGCGATAAAAAAACATGCAGCTTGCATGATTGGTGCCCTTAGAATGGTGTGACATTGCATATAGAATACCAGATGCAAAATATAACATAGAACACTACATAAAACATAATAACGCGAAAACGGGTCGAAGTGGTCAAATTTGCAGAGTCTCATGTAAATTACATGGATGACAGCTCGATTAACATGAGCATGCGCTAACACGCATCAGCACTCCCGTTCAGGTCAACAGTAGTCTGGCCAGCTGTTCCAGCTTTGACGGTAGCGTTGGTCCGCTGTTGCAGCCGGTACCTGTTCACAGCGCCCAATGTCTTCTTCGCCGGCACGCCTGAGCGGGTGTGTCTGACCCTGTTCGACGTGCCCGAGACCGGCAACCTGACGCTGACGTTCAGGAGAAGTGAGAGTAGCCCGACGTTCGCACAGCACACCCAGCAGGTGTCAGGCGTGGCGGGTGAGTACCGAGCCGGGGTGTGGCGGCCCAGGGACCTCGTGGCCACGTGCGAAGCTACCACTCACTATGTGGTCTGAGCTGGCGTTTGAATTGATCTCCGTTGTGGCCGACTCAAGCTTTTTGAAAATGTCTGCTTGATTACATGACATTTCTGGGTACACGGTGCATGCTCACAGGCTAACAATAAAACTGAAAACCAAGGCAGCTAACAAAAGCTTCTGTGCAGCTGTTGTCTTTGCGGCATCTGGCCTAATGTATATGTGTCGGGCACAACACCGAGCTGTATATTAATGCGTTTTAGTAAATTTTTCTGCCACCGTCTTAACGCTGGACAGCGATTGTAATCCTATACTGGCACTACTAAAGCATAATCATACACAGCACTAAACGTTATAACAGGGATTACAACCCATGGTAGCTGCTAAACTGTGATGTGAGGCCACCAATTCAAAGAGCTGATTGATCTCGTCGGACATTATGATTACCACGATGGGCGGGCTGCTTTCAGTTTCAGGCATGCATCTGCACCCCATGGTATCTACTAACGTTTAAAGTCAGTCATTGACCGGTTCGATAGTGCCGGCGTGTTGGCAATGAATGCCTCGCGTGCATATGCCTGTTTCTTATAACTGGGGACATGACACCACAGCAGTGTACGAGCCCGACCGGAGATCATCGGTCGCTGCTCGCTCTCTCGGCGAGTGGACAAAGTGCTTGACATCGTCACCACTGACCGATCTGAATGTACCCACCCGGTGACGACGAGGCCAGCCACACCATCGTCTCCATGAGCGCGCTTCCTGGCCAGGCCACCCATCAGTCGGCTCAGCGTCTTGGAGCGAAACCGGCGGCTCCTCGCGCTAGCAGGGCTTTGTTAAGCCCCCATCCGCCCTACGGTGTTCAGATACACGTGCACCTCACAGGGGAAAATAGGAAACGCGCAGCAAATATGTGACTAAAACAGTCGTTAATACGATGTCGTATTTCAGGTGGATCTAAACAGACCTGCTTTGCAATTCAGCTACCAAATCAGAGAATTTCTAGCGCCTGGATGGGTTTGGAAGTGACTTACCCCATCCGCCGTGGACTACACCATATCAGGAAGTCTACGCGTCCGTATCTAGTAAGTCAAATGAAGTGTCTTTCCACTGAAATTTGCTGCGAGTTTGCAAAAAAGTAAAGCGGAATTATGTGTAGATAAGTGAGAAAGAATCATGTCTTTCAAAGACATTTTGCTAAGAAGAGTTTTTGTGTAGATGCAGAACCCCCTTCGATATATGTGGTGAAGATATAGCACTTCGTATGAAAAGAAGTCCTGACAGTACAGCCGGGCGAGTTCACGGCTGGAGAACACCACAATGCTTGCAGCAATGCATAACGAGTCCACCTGTCAATAGGAAGTGATCAAGGGATAATCGTGTATCATGTGTATTCATGTTCATTCTATGGTGTGACTGGTGGGTGGAAGGTGCAACCAGGCCTGCATGGTAGCCATACTCTGATGTCAAGTTACCCGGTTCAAAAATGTGACGCATTCGCGCTAAAGCACCGGATTCAAATGATTATGTTAACACGCGCCGGGGTGGCCGGCTGAATGCCCTTCGTTCGGGTGGAGGTTAATTTGACCCTCCTGAAATATCAGAAAGAGAAGAGCTAAAATATCAAATTCACAGGGTGAGTTGGCCAATACGTGCACTCATTTGTGTCAAAATTTGCATTCCTAGGTCTGGACCCACGGGTCAGATAAGTTCGAAACCCAGATTGGTATCCAAAGTACCATAAGACCGTCCATGCAACCACCGTGAACCTGGATACCTGTTTTAAAAAAAAACGATCAATGGTATTCATTCAAGGTCAATGATCTTGCGTAACATTTTAAATGTCATGGTGGCTAAAATCACACAAAAGTGCTTTGATTTTTGCATTTCAATAAACGTCAAGGATTACGATAGTCATTCTGTTCCTAAGAAAGCGCTAACCTGCGTCAGTTTAGGTCAATGACCTACTCTGACTTTAAATAATGTCATGAAAGGTGGTAACGCGGCTCCTTTTACCTATAAATTCAAAATGAGAACCACAAACCATCCCATACAGCAAGGTCTGGGTAATAAAAACAGCTTGGTTTCGTCCCCAAGTCTGACTTCCATGCCTAACCTAATGTCCATGAAATTTGTTCACGCAATTGTTTTGTTGCCTAGGCAACTATCACAGAGATGCACGGCCTCGTCTAACACTTCGCTGTTCCATGACATGAAACGATGCCCAGCAGCTTGTCTTCGCTGAATCCATGGCCTGGCTTTGATCTACCTTAGGTCATTGACCTTACGAGGTACAGCTAAATTTTTGAGTGTCAGACTACTTGCTGTTCAATTTTTTACAATCATGAAAAATTTGGTGCGGCTACCCCGCTCCGTTCGGGCGTAATTCCGGAAAACAACCTTCGAAGTGGCAAATTGGCATTCCAACCGAGCGTGTTAAATCATCCATCAAAAGGATACTTGCCACAACACAACAACGAAAAAAAACTGAACGGCATCTTATCCAGTTAGGCTGGCAACCACTTCCATATTGGTAACAACACTTCAAACATTCACAGAATAGCGCCTCACACTATACAGTACTCTTACGATACAAGATACAAGCTCCATTATTTCGATACCGGCGAATGCCGCGCGTTTCAGTTTAAGCGACGTTCCTGAAGAGCATCACTTCCTTCAGACGGACAAGTACATATACAAGGCGGGACAGCTGGTCCGCTTCCGCGTCTTCTCCGTCGACTCGAACCTGAGGCCGATTTCGGAGCCGGTAAGGCTACACCCGCAGGGTCGGGCGCCTCTGCACTGCGCCGAAGCCTCCCAGGTCCCGACCGGTGGTCCCGGCCGATGCAAATAGTGTGTTCCCACCTTGTTCCTGCTTAGGAAAAGGTCCCTCGGAGCTCAGACCGTCACGGAGCCGACTGTTCGGCGTTGGTGGTCTACGAACGAAGTAGGGACCCGCTTGTCCCAGGGTGTACCCGATCGGTGCAAGTTGGCTTTGGACTGACAGTTCATGGCCCGGTCCTGCCTTTATGCCTTTCAATCGGGCATTTGATCGTCGGTCCCGAGGGGCTCTTCGGCTCCTCTGCGGGGTCCTCGAGCGCTGTATCAGGCCCACTCTGGTGTTCCTTGGCAATACCGACCCTTGTTAGGTGCCTCCCCTGACCAAGCAGTGGCCGCTCATTGACTTAATGGCCGCAGACAATGTAAATCGCGACACTTGGCCCTGTCCCTGCTTGGGAAATGTGCCAACGTCCCAGATCTGACCTTAAAGGTTCAATCTGGTGACGAATCTTGTCAACGGTCGCTAGACTTCACCATAGGAATGAAGTTAAGCAAAATAGGGTTGGTGAAGCTAAGTGGGGAAAAAACGAACACCAAATGCACTAAAAAGCAGGGTAGTTCCCGGATTTGACCCATTTCACTCTCAACGACGCTATGGAACTTGAGTCTCTTGTCCTTCCCCCTGCAGAAAAGGAAAGCCCAGCCCGATCTAATGCGTTTGCTTGCCCTGTCTCGGCAAAAGTTGCTGTTGTTGGAATCATTATAATTTTATACGGTCCCGATCTTTGAAACCAGGTCTCGGTAATAGTTATAGAATTGATGGTATGCGGCTTAAGACGTTTTTTGGATATGTACTCCTTGGGAGCAAAGATTGTAAGTTGATTTGGGCGACAAGTGACGTCTGCCATGGAAATCCCGGCTGATTGCCGCAAGACGGGGTGCAGGCGCACCACCCCCGCTAGGCACGCTAGACATGGCCTGTGTTGGCAATCATAGTCGGACGATTACCGTTACCAGCCTAGCCAGTTGGCGTTCGATTGTCACGTCTTGGAAATTGCTTTGCCAAATATTCACGTTGAAGTGAAGGTCGACACATGTCAAGAATTTCTCCAAATTAAGACGACTAATAATTTGACCATGTTTTTGGCTGCAAGTATTCTACCGCTATGTTTTTGTTTTCCGATAAGACGTCCTAGCGCAACAACGCAACTTGCTGCAGTCTGTTTGTCTCAAAACATTACTGAATAATGTCAAAACACTCCCGCAATATCACAAAACTGGACCATAGTAAGCAATAAATATAAATCGCGTGGTTAAAGGTATGCAGTGTGCAGAAAAAAACAACACAAAACTCGAGTCAACACGGTACGACCGCGGAGCTTTCAAAGTGTGACTAACTCAGGCAGGTGCACAAACTGGACAAAGTATAGCAGTTTTTGTTTTTCTTTTATGAGTATTTTGCCTGAGACAGAATAAGCAGAAGCATTCTTTAGATTTGCATAGTTTGAGCTCCTATTGTAACGTCCTTCATGTACTGGAGTTCCAGAAAGTTGGGGGACCAAACTCACCATTGGGGGAGAGGGGGGGGGGTGGGGGTGGAGCAGATTGGACAGTTGCGGGACAGGCAGTGGTTCACCCAAAGAGTACAAGTCGACACCGGTGCGTACTTGTTTGTTTTCGTCATGAAACTTTTATATGACAAAACTCACTCGTAGCTCTTCAATCACCCAATACGTAGCCAGGCGTTACTGGCATGCGCGCTGAACCAAATCTTGGGTACTCGCGTTCCAGGGGTTTTGCCATCGGGCCAAACATAATCGTTGCGCGCTAACATATTTATCCCTGAGTTTAAGGGAATGTTTCCAATTTGTATGGGATTTTGAGCTGAAATAGCCATCTTGAGGACGTTTTGATACAGTTCACGGTCATGTCCTTTTAAGACCCAAAGCGCTCCGTTCCTGAGCCCGCCAAAGTGTGAAAGGTTTATTGGGAGCCTACTTTAGCCACCTTGGCATTAATGACGTCGTAGAAACGTCATGCGATCGCAGCTATACTACAGGCTGCTTTCTGCTTATGGTCAAAACAGCATGACCACTGAAACATTCGCAAAAGCGATGATACGGCACGTATGATCAATGCGCGGAAGAGGATTGGCTGCTAGCAAGATCTCGCTGCTGAATGTGTGTCGCGACGCAAGCGTGAGCACTTTTGGGTTGTGTGGCACTCGTCGTGAACGGGGCATTTTTCCTTGGTCAGTGCTATAAAAAAGAACACCACTGTCTGCCGAAAAAGTTCGGCACCCAGAAACGAGCATTCTCACGAATATTATCAAACAGAAGACGCGAGGGCAAATCTGACTTTGATTCCCTGCTGGCGTTTTATTCTTCTTCTACAGGCGCATTGCGTACAGACAGCTCGGTTGCACGACAGCTCTGTGTACCGGATCACAGAACCTTGCACGGGCTTCTGGGTTAGCACGGCATTAATAAATTAGGGAAACATTACAGTGATTTTAGATACATCTTATACTCAATATTTCACACACACACTGTACGACAATTTTACGTCTTGAACAAAAAATTGTGCTCCACAAGTACGACCTCTTGAGCCGGATTACCGTGGCACCTCGTTGGGACATTGTTTTGAAGGGTGCTCACGGCGAAATGCGGTATTATATTCGTAATTCTGTGCGGAACTTGTGAGGAACGTGCAATTTTATAATTACGAAGTTGTGCAAATGTAAGAGCATTGCTGTGGCATTATTTAAGTCTACTGACACCCAATGAAATGTGATATATCAATATTTGCCTCTGCCTTAATGGTTGTGTTTGAACATGGCAAGGTAATGTCGGCAAGCTAAGAGAAACACTAGGACTTGTGTGCAGATGTGTACAAAGACAATTTGGCATGTCATTATGATGTTGTCAATATTTTAAACCTGTTGATTTATGTGATTGCATATTGTCATTGCAATGTAATTAATATATTGCATGCCATTATATCAGCAATTTATTTTGGCAGTAGGGGCTAGTGCGCGCAGCTCATTAACGCACATGCTCAGCATAGGTTCACGTGATACGGCTTTGCAAAATTGTCCTTTCATAAATAACTCTGTAAATATAACGCTGTAATATTAATGATGCACATTCTACTGTCTTAACAAATTTTGTATGCAGGCAAGCATTGCTTGTGAGTCATCAATGTCATAGTCACTGTAACTTGCATGAGGTGCTGGGTGGTGAGAAAGGTGGTAAAGTATTGCAGTTGGCGCCTTGGATAGCACTTAATATTTTCATCATGAGCCGCTTGTGCGCTGGCAACTTCATAACTTCCTTGCATTTTTCCCATCCACCCATAAGTACATGCACCTATCATTTCTCCAGTCTCAGCATGTTTGCAGTGTCATTTCACCACATGCAAAATTTTCCTGCCATTTTTGTGTAAAGCAGCCTGATGGCTGCAACATGTTACATGGCTGTGAAAGTGCAAGACGTGTTTGCATCTTTGTCACCCACGTTTTGTGGGTTACCAAAACAGGCTGAGGAAGTGTTGTCACTTATTGGTTGTTTGCTTTGCTGAAAGTGATTTCTATGTTGTATCAAGTGTTTTTGGTCAGTCATATGTCAGATGGGTAGTCAATACAAGAGTGCACGCTTAAGCCATCTTTTCGATGAAATTTATTATAAAGCAGTAGGGATTGCAATACAAAAACCATATCACTGCTCATTATGTCATGCCACAGTACAGCACTGATTTAGTGCCCAAGGCCGCTGTTGACCCGTGCCATGGCAAAATGTACCACGGTGGTTGACTTCTCTATGGCAAGCCTATGAGACAGCAGCTAGAATTTATGAATGGCTGGTAGGAACTGATTTAACAATGCCGAAGGACTACCGACAGCAAGAATGTCATTGCACTACATTGATTATATGAGGGTTAAATAGTAATTGCATAAATGATCCTAGGCAAAAAAAAAATATTGGTGCCCCAACTTCGCCATCTTCATCATAGCAATAACAATGCTTTGGCAATCAATTCATAGCGACGTAACATATCTATCAATTTTCACATGACACCGCATTTCCAGTTATAAACAATAAGAAAGTAACTACTGTGTGCATCACAAGATATCAATGTCATGACTACAGGCAAGGATAGGTCAACAATACAGCATTGACAAAGTCATCATCAACAGCATAGCAGCAACAGCAACAGCACAGCACATCGTGCTTTGATATTAATAATCCGGCAAAAAAGCCGGCGATCGCTACGCTGCGTATGTCAGACAGTCCACCAAAGCTTTTCTAACGGCTAGCACCATACAAAAAACCCACAACCACCCTCTAACCCGCCACCCGACACAGCGCCCGCGACGAGAATGGCCGGTTGGCGTCAGCTTTCTTGCGCTGCGAGGTATTCTTTAGGTCTGGCTGCCAGATGCTGCCAGGTATTACTGTCGTCACAAAACGATTCCATGACTGCCAGCAAACAGTGACATAATGGGGCACAATCTTACAAACTTTGAATTTTTGCGACTTAACACCTGCCCGGGCTAGATACGCTTTGCACGGGTGGGGTGGGGTGGGGGTGGGGGGTCAATTTGAGCCCCTGAGATCTCTGGAACTAAGAATAATAGAGGTACCAAATTTACAGGGCATGTTAAACCTGTACGTGAACTCACTATGTCCAAGTTGCAAGTTCCTAGGTTATGATCTTCGGGTCAAAAAAAGGTAAAACAAGGTCAGGCTCCAGGTTGGTCTCCAAAGTGCCCCCAGAGCCAGAGTGCATCTCACTAAGCGACAAATATTACGCTAGGCAGCATGTCCCTAAAACTAAAATGTTGACCTCGGTCATTTAAGGTCAATGACGTATTCTGAACTCTGAGAAGTCCATGGAAGATGTATAATGCGGTTCCTGCCATCAGCAAATTCGAAATGAGCACCAGAAACTATTCTATACAGCAAGCCCTAGAGTAAGCAAAACAGGTTGGTGTTGACCTTGGTGTTAACTTCATACCTGACTTTAGGTCAATGTCGTTTGCTCATTCAACTGTCGTGTTGCCTAAGAAAGCATCTAAGAGATGTAGGCTTCGTCTAACACTCTGTTGTTGGATGATTGAAGAATTCCGTAGAAATCGCCTTCGCTGAAACCATGGCCAGGCTTTGGCCTGCCATAGGTCAGCGACCTTACAAGGTACATCTAAATTTTTGATGCTAGGCGATCCGTTGTTCTACTGCCTACAGCTATGCAAATTTGATCTTCAAGGTGGCTATTTCGGTTCTTTCGGTTTCGGTTTGTACAACCTTGGATGAGAGCCAATTGACGCCAATTATACATGACAATAGTACTTACAGATGCCAGATATTGACGACTCGACAGTTAAATTTTTATTGACCTTGGCCAGTGGAATGGCAGGATACGTATGACGTTATCATCGTATTACAATTCCCTGATTAACCTTGAAATAGTCTGCACAAAACAGTCTACACGTCTTTGCGAGCGCGACGCTCAGAAACAAGGGGATTTCAGGTCTGAAGAAGGCGAAGTCTGCGTAGTGCATCGGGCGACCTTCAAGGTGCTATTTCACTTCGAAACCCTACACAAGTGTGGAACACTCGCTTGACACAGTGCCACACAGTGCTTGCATTTCATTTTTATAGGTTTTACGATCTGGTGCCCCGTGCCACCGAGTAAGCCGCGACAAACAACGAAGTTTTTCAATACCACGCAAGCAAAATTTTGAAGAAGATAGTTGTCGCTTTCCGCTATTCAGTTCTTTTGGTGTCAAGCCACGAAATACTTGGCAGCGTTTTTCGAAAATCAATGTGCCTTTTCTTTTTAGTTCAGTTTAAGCAGCTTGCAGCGATAACTGCTCGCGACTAACAGTGTTTTCAACCTTGCCACACATCGCCCATTAAGAGGGAAACCTGGAGTGCCGTCTCAGTCCGCTTCGGCACATGGATACTTACGTTAAAGAGAATGTTCCACATCTGAAGATATTGAAGCAAGGGTCAGATAAGATGAACAAAAACTCAGTAACAAATGTAGATATACTTAAGTAGAAAAGACTGTTGAAGATAAAACAATTTCTCGATTTCGTAAATATGCCTGGCAACACATCGTTGTTTGATTGCGTCGTCTTGCCTTGCACAAACTTGATTGAAATCCAATTGATGGCTGTATGCCTGGAAGGCCTGCTCACGAACGCTAGATGTAAACAAATTGACAACTAGTACCTTTCTTGCCTTTGATCGGCGCTTGGATGTTGGAATGGCAGGATTTGAATGACGTTATTACGTCACGAATGCTTGGGTGACTTTGAAATAGTTTCCCCGAAAAAGCCTGCACCTCTTCGCGGGTGTGCTATCTCAGAAGATGGAGAAGCTTATGTCGCAACACGAGCGGGCTGTCGAATGCACCTGATTAATTTTCAAGATAGATATTGCAGTTCAAACCCCCACACAAATCTTGAACACTCATTTGAATGAAAGGTGTGTTGTATGGAAGGACAAATTTGCGTTTTATCAGCATAATGCGCGTTTGTGCAGCTGTTCAAACAAAATCTTCCGTGGTTTTCGGTACGTCATAAATCATTTTTCCTATAGTCATTTAAATGTTTATGTTTTTAGGACATTCGTTCTCAGTTTTAAAGTAATTTGAGACAGTCAGCAGGAAACCCTCAAATATGGCCAAATACGAGGCACGCTCTACCTGACATAATAAAAGGTGAACGATCAGTAAACAGAATATGCATTCGAATATCAGACAAAATTATGAAACATATACAAACGCACGCAGATCAATTTTCCAGCCAGTTGACACCATGGCAAGTTCGAGATGTTAAATCACCTGACTGTCATTGGATGCCGGAGCAAGCCTAAAGTGATGCATGATCTTATCTATTTGTTTAAGGCAGGCATTCTTTCTCTGATGAGGGTGACTTCGGGAGCTTATAACGGCGTTCGGACATGATTTCAGGATCACTGCGTTTTTAGCTAGCCCAGAGCTAAGAAGTTTTGGGTTGTTGGCGTTACGCATGTGCTGGTCTGGCGCCTCCTCCTGCAGGTGCTATGTCATGCGTCGTGACGGAGATGTTGTTATCATTCCAATGTAGGTCGTGTTGCGGAGCCGGCAGTTTTCGTGCGTCATTTCAATTCCTACACTGCATCGGTGCGCTTTAGTTGATCTGCTGTCAGGCTGTTTTTCATTGCAAGGCTACTATTTGCCTTGCTCTTACAACAGACCATGTGTCTTATAGCATTGTCGTCGTCAGTTGGTGTGATATTTGTGCTGACGATTTCTGCGAAACACTTCAGTTTCATCAGTTCAATTTGGATATAATCTGTTGGTCAATCGCGTTGTTCGAAAGTAATTATAAACCAGCAACAGCTTGCACCGTTCAAGCTCGTGGTGCGTGCTGGACCAGAGGGAGCCACATTTTAGGGCGCGTCGTAGAAAAAGAACGGATGGCGGCTACGTGGTAACGCTCTTGACATTCGCTAGCCAGGTTCAGTGTATTTGCCAGTATCATTAGACGTACGGCGCATTGTCGTCACGGAAAAATCCGTTACTCGTATCCATATCGATGGCAAGAAATGGCAAACGGCTGCCAACGCTCAGGTCAGTATAGCTCGCGTAGCTCGGAAACTAGAGAGGCTTAGGTCTTAAAGGGGTAGGGTTGTCAACTGTACCGGCTGATCTTCAATAGGGCAATTTCAAGTTCAAAACCTCCAACAAAGGTGTAGTCTTCTCTTTAAGGAACGTATAGATCCAAAACGATGCTTCATTTTGGCATTGGAAAAATAAATATATTATGAGTGTGACATGGGAACAAGCTTTAATTCGTTGCAGTGTATTTCACAGAAACCTTGGGGCCTACATCGGTACCAAGGCAATAGAAAAAAAATACACAATGGTCGGTGTCTTGCTTCCGCAACAATCCGTCTGCAAGCTTGGCTCAAACGGCTCAAGCCGTTCAAGCCGCTTTTTTTGTTTGACCAATCACGTGACTTTGCATCCCACTAATCTTCGGCATTGCACGCTATCACGTGTGCACCTCCAAGAGAACCGTGCGCTGCGACGGCGGTCTAGAGAAAGCGGGCAGCCGTCTCGCGCGTGTTGAAAAATAACATAAACACCAACGGCCAGGGATGTAGGCAAGGGGATGGAAAAGGAGGGTCGTACTGCCAACTGCCCAATTGTGCCGAAATGCTTGCAACAGATGCCGTGGTATTCACAAGACTGTGGTTTAAGTTTCTAGACTTGGAAGCGAATTTTACATTTATACCCCATGAGGAAACTTTTGGCAACGTGCCATATGATACCATGAGAGAAGTAACGCAGTTTAGGAACGGCGTTGCATCGCGCCCTTATACCCATCTACTCTATGGTCTTCGCACTTGGTCCGTATACGGACAGCGCTACACAGTTTTTGTTTTTGAATCCCGTTAATGAGTGACGATAGCTACGTCGTGCTATTCTAAATTACGCATCCCCTAGACGTGCGTTATTGGTGTCACGTCCCACTATGCTATCCAAGTGTCCGTCGGTTGCCCAGCCGGTTGATCGAGCTGACTCTCTCTTCCCACTGTATTCAGTTGCCGCAGATTTACATCGAATCGCCGGCCGGGACGAGGGTGGCGCAGTGGACAGATGTGACTGGTCAGAGCGGGCTGGTGCAGCTTGGAGATGCAGCTGGCCGAGGAACCCAGTCTGGTGAGTGGTGCAGCTAGGGTTACAGCGGACCGAGGAGTCCAGCCAGGTGAGTGGCGCAGCTGGAGTTGCAGCTGGCCGTTGAACACAGTGTGGTGATTGGTGCAGCTGGAGTTGCAGCTCGCCGATAAACACAGTGTGGTGATTGGTGCAGTTGGAGTTGCAGCTGGCCGTTGAACACAATGTGGTGAGTGGTGCAGCTGGAGTTGCAGCTGGCCGGTGAACACAGTGTGGTGAGTGGTGGAGCCAGCTGGAGTCGCAGCTGGTCGATGAACACAGTGTGGTGAGTAATGCAGCTTTTGATGCAGATTATCAAGAGCCCGGTGTGTGCGCGCGCGCGCGCGCGCGCGCGCGCGTGTGTGTGTGTGTGTGTGTGTGTGTGTGTGTGTGTGTGTGTGTGTGTGTGTGTGTGTGTGTGTGTGTGTGTGTGTGTGTGTGTGTGTGTGTGTGTGTGTGTGTGCGTGTGCGTGTGCGTGTGCGTGTGTGGGTGTATGGGTGTGTGGAAGTGTGCGTGGACCAGTGTGGCTGGTGCAGTTGGAGACCTGACTTTCAGGCGCGGGGCCAATATGGGGGGGGGGGGGGAGGGGCTGAGCCAAAGCCGCTCCTTATATGCACAAAGTGCCAGCCGTGATTACCCTCTCGCCTGTCGGTTACGGGCTGAGCCAGAAATAAACGGAGCGGACCACATCTTTCTTTTCGCTCGCATATATCTGTCAGAATTATTTCGTGTTGAATCCATAGCAATGCTCCAACAAATTATTGTCAGAGTGTTCTGAGCGATTCTCTCGCATTGTGATGCTATAAACGTGGCCACTTGAAAATATCAGATCCTGATTCTGTTTATACCTAGCATTGGTTTTTGGTTGTGATGGGCTAAGTGGATATAGATGATGTTAGCTCAGCGAGCTAATGCGGCTATCGATATCGTCGATTGCTGTATACAATAAAATCCATCGCACCTAAGGCCATAGTGTTGAAGTTAAGTAGAATGCTAAAATAGAAGATCAGACATCCCAGATAACAATTGCACTCTAGTTAAAACATGTAATATTGGCTAGATACTTCGATAGATGAAACCCTTAGCTGAGACATGTGTTACATGCGTTACATTACACGTGCGTTACGTGCGTTACATGCGTTGCATCCCAAAAGTACATACAGTTTCAGAGCAATTCATACAATGTGATTAATTTTTAAATGCCACACAAGCCGTGCAATTTACCACACTTTTGTTGTGCTCGCGTAGATACGACTGCACAAAGCCTGGTTAATGGTCTATGCGAGGCATGCCCATATTGTGGAGTAAAACACCATGTATTAGGTAATATCATTTTGTCGCTTACATGACTTAAGTTTCTGAAACATGGATAAGATCAGCATAGTATATATGCCCGATCAGCGTACAGAGGCGTAGACTTCCGCGCGGAAGCAGCGGTCTTCAAAGGCCGCGTGTTCTTGGTGATTACGTTAATATGCACGTTTGTTTTCGACCGTTCCATAGCAAATTTATACCAAATTTGAGCTTAAAAGTACAGAAGTCTTCACGAGGCTGACGGATTCTATAGGCTTTATATGTCACTGAAGTTCAGCTTCTGTTGGCATTTAACCAAGACTGGACAATTGGGCGTCCCGAATGCAGGGTTAAGAGCGCAGACGCCCTTGCGCGACCGGAACAATAATGTTTGATGCCCTTTGGCAGACGTTATGCCAAAACAAAACATGTCGTCGAGTGGGATGGCTTTTAAGCAATCGTGAAATTACAGATGTAAGCGATTCTCTGTCTTCAGCGATGTGTAACCTGTAGGACTGGGAGAGCTAGGGGAGTGGCAGCCACTCTGCCCTCCAACAGGCAAATTTCAGGTCAGTGACATGATTTTGTGGCGTTACCGTGCAGTAGTCCTCGGCACAGTCCGTCCTACCCTCTGACGTCACCTGACCTTAAGCGCAGCCCCTGCTGCCGGCTGCATGCCTCGCCAGTCAGGGGCACATAGAGAGCGCTCAAAGCGGCTCGAAGCCGCCCCAGCCACGGATGAGTGAATCCGAAGACGAGGGTTTAACCAACAAAGGTGCTTTAGCAGATAAACAATTACTGCTTTCGCAAAACACCCCCCTGAATTTTTGACACCTTTCACTAATCCTGGTATACTGAAGGTCTGGCATTTGTTTTCATAAGTACATGCAACATAAAAACATTGCTAACATTCATACTATTCGCAGAAAAACAAAGACCTTATGGCCTATTTAGCTTTAGACTTTCAGGGATTTGAAGGCTATCGATATCTTTACTCAAATGCTTCAGTCAAACATGCTAAAAGCGTGCCACGTTTGGTATTTTGGTTTGGTTGCTTCCAGCTTGGCTCAAAACGCTTTATCCCTCGGACAGGCCATGCAGTCACTGCAGGATTAGCATGCAAGGCTGCTCAGTGCTTAACAATATGTCGGTAGATCACCACGGGGGATCTCCTGTGCCGTCTGGCTGGTGGCCCGAAAGCCTGTCTATTCCCAGTCTCATTGTTTGCAGGGTGAATGGAACATACACGTAGCGACAAGTGGCGGGGCGTAAGGTGAAAAAGACATTCAAGGTCGAGGAATTTGTGTTGCCCAGGTTCGAGGTCAACATCCAGGGTCCTCCATTCATTCTGGGTGACGCCGAAGAAGTGGCGTGGAAGGTGTGCGGAAGGTGGGTGCCAAAGTGTCATGTTCCGAGATGTATTGTGGACGCCGTTGACGGGTGGCCATTCGCGTCATGCGTACTCGATTGCCCCTTGTGAATACTGTGCCGATGACCCACTGAAACGCTTTTTTATCCGTACCGCACTAGTGTGAGGCGTATGTGTGGTGATATGGATTCCTACGCTTACGAACATCTAACTTGGCCATTATTTCGTCCTACGACTGTGCTGTCTGTAGATGCATGTCTTTGTTGGTCCATGAACTGCAAGTGCCTTTCAGAAGTTGTGCACTTTAGGTTCGATGTAAAACTACTGCAGTCAATTTTAGGTACACCTACGACAAGCCGGTGCAAGGAAAGGCAACCATTCGTGTCACAACTGACGGGTATGCCTGGTGGCATTACTTCCCAAGCACGCATATCCAAGAAAAACACGTAAGTACAAGTGTGCACCTAGCACTAAATGTGAACTGAGGGATAACCTTCAAAGACCCTCCTTTATCACCTCCTTAAACTCTTGGTGTTAAAGTGGCTTAGTTGAAATCTATCTTGCTCAAAATTGATAATTTACGTGAATCTGGCAGTTCAGACCGTGGGTGTCGATTTCTCAAAATACTGGGGGGGGGGGGGGAGCAGAGTCTTAGAAGTCGTCATCAAGGGACAGGTACGAAAACCTTCTCGGATAAAGTCGGCGTATGCTCTGGTTTTTGGCTATCCATAAAACGCACATATGCATATATATATATATATATATATATATATATATATATATATATATATATATATATATATATGGATGGGTGGGTGGCTCTTTTAAGTCTTCTTCCAATGCCTGGAAGAGCTTTCTCAGCCTTCTCACCTGTTGTTGCACCCCTCGACGTGAGATTAGGCCCGATCAGTTAAAATCCATCCTGCTCGAAATTGACAATTTGCGCAAATCTGGCATTCAGGCCGTGGGTGTCAATTTCTCAAGGTTCTTGGGACGGGGGGGGGGCAGAGTTTTAAAAGTCGACATGAAGGGACAGGTGCGAAAACCTTCCCGGGCAAAGTCGGCGTACGCTCTGGTTTCTGGCTATCCAAAAAAATGCACATACGTACATATACATACATAAATATAAACATATATGTGTATATGTATGAATATGCATATACATACATACATACATATATATATATATATATATATATATATATATATATATATATATATATATATATATGGATTCAAACTACACTTACCACATCTTTTTAACCTTCTACGCGAAGCCACATCAATCACGTATGCAAGTCTGGCAGTTCGCATCAGTTTCGTATAAAGGCACTTGTTTTGTGGAGCTCAAAGGGCGCAGTTGCATCTCGCTCTTGTGAACTGAAAGTAAAATATGCATGCAATTTACCATTCCCTGTCTTAAACTTTTTGTGTGGATTCTGATGCATTCACGAAAATATTGTTCACAATATGTCCGGCGTTGTGTACCGTGTACATGAAGCCCCTCGACATTTAAAAAAGAAAATCATTGATAAGCCATATACATTTCACTTTACATCAAACAAAGCGTAGGCACTCCTCCAGGCATAACTCCAGAAAATGGTTCTCTACCTTTCCCCACAACGCTTAGAGACGTGTTCTCTTCTTCATAATGCCTTTCCCCGCTCGCTTCATCTCACGCGACTGCGAGCCAGCTGTAATTCAGGGAGACACTGTTCCAAGCTGGTGTGCCACTGAAGGAAAGCCACTCTAACCCGCTTCAGCTCGAATGTATGGCGAATGAAACGACCATAATGTTAATGCCGCCTGCAAGCAAGTTGTAAAGGCGTTGCTAATTGGGCTGACTCTGAGATGTCAGTGACCAGGGGCGTCTTGGAATCTTCAACCTCTGCTCAGAATCGAGTTGTAAAAGACTGACATAACATGTCTTTGACCACGCGAGGTCTCAAATTTTAAAACAAAAACCCTGAGGCCCGGCGTTGCAGTCTCCGTAGGCCCCGCGGCGTCGGTCTCTGCCTATATTGGGCGGCAGCCGGTGAGCGGACGAAAACGGCATTGTATCTGAAAGAAGTACTTTTGAACGCCTTAAGATGCCAATTCGTACTTTCAGAAGGTAATTTGGAAGCAGGTTTCACCTGTGCAACTTATATATTTTTGGGAGGATCGTATGAGCATCCCCAGAACTGCAAATCGGTGACGGAATTTGATGGAGGAATGAGACAAGTAAACATAGAACCGCTTTTTCTTGTTCCTTAAGCTTGTTTATCAGCTCAGAAGACATTCTCAACACTTGACATGTGAAACTGACGCCCTGGTCTGATCTTTTGAACGGTACAAATTCATTTTGAAAGACTTTCGGCAGCATCATTTCACAACGACCGTTCTCGCGCGTCAGGTGCCCGCCATCCGGTTTGGTCTACTAACACCGCTCGGCAACATGGAAACTGCAACTGTGGCCAGCAGTTTTCTCTCTTCTAGTACTGCGAGTACGCAAGCTCAGAGTTCTTTTTAAAATTGTTCCACATGTTTTCTCGGATCGAGGATGCACGCAGGGGTAAGACGCTCTAGAATAGGATGTGGGCTGAGCCAACAAAGCTGACCTAACATACGCTAAAATTCTAATTTTTATCTGGACATCGGCCAGTTTGATTTCCGGCCCTAATACCAAGATTAAGCTGAAAGAAATATTTGATCGGTTCCAGCGTTTTTATGTTGTTGATGTCTGATGTCTCTTGATGCGTTTAGCGTCTACTATACCGGCAGTTTAGACACCAGCTGTATTTCATTGGTCCAGTGTATCCTTTTTCGCTTATGTGCATTGGGGGTGATTGGTTCAGCATAGTATTGAAGGGGATTAAAGGCAATGTTTGCCATTTGTATGGGGGTTTTGACCCGAAAGAGCAATTTTGAAGATCATTTGGTGCAGTTCACAGTCCTTACCTTCTTAAAGGGAATGCTCCAAAGTTGAGATATTGAAGCATGCATCAGATATGATGAAATAGGCTCACTTATAGTAATATGTATACTATTAAGTGAGAAGGACTGCTTTAGACATCACAATTTCTCTGTCCAGTAAATATACTCCTCAATGCGTCATTGTTACTCCTTTTAAAGGCAATGTTTAACGTTTGAAGATATTTGAGGAGGCATGGGATGTAATGAAATCAAGCTCAGCCATGACTGTTAGTGTATCTTTAAGAAGAAAAAACTGCTCTAGACAACACCATTTTTGTCCTGTTTAGTAAATATGCTCGACATGTCATTGTTTAAATATGTCTTTTTACGTTGCACAGCGTTGATTGAGACCCCATTGACGGTCGTTGCCGTGGAAATCATGCTCACGAACGCCAAATATGAACGACTCGAACATTATATATTTTTTGGCCTTGATCGCCGCATGGGTTATGGAATAGCAGGATTTAAATAACGTTGTTATGACGTCATGAATGCGACGTTGACATTGAAATGCTTTGCCCGAAATAGTCTCTCCATCCTCGCGAGCGTGCAGCTCAGAAACTAGGGGGCTCAACTTTTAAGATGGGCAGGGCTGTAAACTGCACAAAACGCTCTTTAAAATGAGCGTTTTAGTTCAAAACGTGACAAAAATGTTTAACAGTCCCTTCAAGGTTTTAAACCTTCAAGTGTGTGAGATACACGCCCGTCCGAAGATGTGGAGACTGTTTTGTGCATATTTCCTCAAGGCCATTCAGGCATGCATGCAGGCAACAATAACATCATTCAAATTTTGCCATCATCACAGGTCTTGATACGTTTAAGGCTGATAACAATATTTTTGTAGAACCATCCAGATCTGACGTCCAGGAGCACGATTTACAGTTCTGACAGACGTCAGTGTGCTCCCATTCAGTAATGAGCAAGCTGTGCCAGTTCCAACCATGAGTCGCGTTCTTTGCTGCGTAATGTAAGAAATTATGCATGGTCGCTGGCTATTACGGAAATGATGTTTCTGATTGAATAACTCGAGAATGGCGCCATAACCAAGTATGTAAACGCAAGTATACGTTTTAAAACTCTCGTGTAACTGTGCAGAAACGCTACGAGGGAGGCCCAAAACATGAGCGCATAACCATATTTGGCTTAGCGAGCACTTTCCGCTCCGCTACTGCCGTCTTTTGGCGGATTGGAGTTCTTTATGTGAGTGCTAGAGTGGCAATCTCGCCCAGCTACTTGGCACTATCTCAACGTCATGCAAACTTTCCATGACGTAATCAAATAATTACGCATAGAGAAGCATATCTACGAAAGCGAGAAATGTTGTCATCTACAGCAGTCTTGTTCACTTAAAAGCATGTCAATAGGTTTAAGTGAGCTGATTGCATCATATCTGATGCTTGCTTCAATATTTTGAGATGTGGAACATTCCCTTAAAATCAGCATTGTGGCCAGGGTGGCTCAAGAAATCCGAAATGACACTAATGTGATACCCTGGATGAACGTCCTTTTCATCTTTGACATTCATTTTTGACCCCATTTTGATCATCCTTACTTAATGCTTATACAACCCTTACATTTGTACGCGCAGGAATCCCAGAGGATAGGACCCTAAGTGCACTTAAGGGTCGTTAAGGGTCGTTAAGGGTCGTCCAACTCTCATTGAACGTTATCATATCCACTTTTACTGACAGACCTCCCCAACAAAAGGCTCTCTAGCATTCTGTTTCTAATCTCTATTCCTGTCCATCAAATGTTGCCGTGCCCGACTTGGGGCCTATTGCGAACATGGGACCATCTGTCAGACACTGTGGTCTCCTGACCGACACGACATATTGTTACAAGGGTCCCGCTCCCGACCAAGGCGACTCGCCGCCACCGGACTTGTCTTTACTTGGTAAATGGGCCCCAGCGCTTAGACCAACATGAGGCCGACTGTTGGCTGTTGTTAGTCTCGGACCGAAATAGACGCCCGTATTGTCCTTGGGTGTCCCCAAACGGTGTAAGGGGTTTTCCGACGGACATTTGAGGGTCCGTGATAATGCCATAAATGGACCTGCCCTACAGACCGGTGTCCTTAATGTGACCCACAGCCAGCCACTCGTACCTTCTAATCCGGCACTTGATCGAAGGCCCCTCTGCGAGGCTCCTTCGAACATTGCCCTAGGCCGGTTCTGGATTCCTTACCATACATGACCTTTATTATGCACTGTGTTCTCAAGATCGACACAGTGGCCCCGACCGATGTAAGTCGCAGGCCCTGGTCTTGTCCCTGCTTGGGAAATGCGCGCTGAATTTCAGACCTGACGCTTGAGTAAGTTGGTGGCGAACCCGTCACGTATCACGGTCGTTAAGCCTACACCAAAGGGGCGCATTTTCGCAAAATAGACTGGGGAGCTGAGCGGGGAAACCCTAGCCTTAAATACACAAAAATTGGTTTCGCCCCAGGTTTGACCTACTTTCCTCTCGCCGTAATGGAGTTGGGTTTATACCCAATTGAATAAAAACATACAGCACTGGCGTAATACGTTTTTTCGCTTTACCTCGGTAGCAGATATTCTCGTTGGATGCCATTAACATTTTGTTCAGCAGCGATCACCGAAATCACGCTTCGGTAATTGATGCAGGGCCGACGTTACGTGGCTGCAGACGTTGTTGGGGCATTTACGGCTTTCGGAGTAAATAGAGTAAGCTGGCGTGCGCGACCATTAAAGGCTGCCTCGGAAATCCCCGGCTGGTAGCCGTAAGGCGGGCTGCGGGCTGCAACACAACACTCGTGTTAAGCGTGTTTGACAGGGCTGGCGCTGTTTTGGAGGTTATTTGGAGGTTAAATGGAGGTCAGCGTGTTTTAGTGGTTCTTTTGCTGCTGCCGGCTAAAAATTTGCCCACAATTCTCTCTGCCAACATTTGACCGGTGTGTTGTAATTTCCAGTAACACATGGTATTGTATCGACAAAAGAACGTAACTTTCTGCAGCCAGACATTTTCCTTGCTCTTTTTGCGTGTAAAACAGATAGCTTCTACTAAAATTCAGGTAATTTTGATTCCGCATTTGCGATCGCCTGCCAGTGCTTTGGCTGCAGAAGGTGGGGCGGGGCAAACTCACCTGCAAAGGGGGGGGGGGGGGAATCGGACAGCGAGGGGCAGTAGCGCACCGAGGATGATACAAATGGATACCTGTGTCTCAGACTAATCAGAAAGTTTAGAAATGCCATCTTTCCATCATTTTTAGGCAGGGCATGCTGATCATGTGTTTGAAAAAATCCCATTTTCGCTGACAAGCACGTAACCAATGAGCTTTTTCAGCGTTAGCTATCAGTGTTCTTCAACTTCAGAAATCAGAGCTTTTAACCGTTAGCAGTGTTTTTCAACGTTAGGAATCCATTTTTTTTTCGAAACGGCTGGTACCTTACGCTGCTAAATGAATTCATAACGTGGTACTTCTTATTTGTTTCTGTTATAGTGCCGGAGGATATGCATGGATGCCACAATATGCACAGCATACCTGCACTGCCATATAGTCTCCGTTTGTCGCCTGTCGAAACCGCGACGCAGGCGGAAACGTCCCCCAGACGGCCGCCGGCTGGCGCGGCTCCGTCTGAACACAGTGCACAATTCGGCAGACCTCCGGGGACGACTGCGTCGTGTTCCACGTCAGGAGCGGAGATCTCAGCTTCGGATTCAAATCCCGGAGTTTGGAGGTCACCGCCGAACTCACAGAGGACGGCACTGACGTCACGATTAACAGCACCAAAACGTTCACCGTTGAGTACCAGAAGCTGAAGCTGGACACTGAAAACCAGAGAAGCAAATATTTCAAGCCAGGACTTCCCTTCGCCGATCAGGTACGTGCCAAACGAGCTAAGCGCCAATTTGTTGGAAGGCATCGGGGTCGTGGCGTAAAGGAGGTGTGGATTCTCGCTGATTTGTGTTTGGGAGAAATGCAAAGAGGCATCATCCGCGTGGAAAATGGCATTTCTGTATTTTGCCTGAAGGCAGCGAGCAGAGATAGATTTGACTTTGAAGGACTTGCGCCGACGCGAACAATTGGTCCCGGTCGCTAAGCTTCTAGCTGAGACAAGCCATGAAAATGTCAGAGGTGACGCATTTAGTTTTGTGTTTCGGAAGACAGGGATGCTGGATGTTGATAAACAAAGATTGGAGATGATCAATTACACAAACGTTACGGTCTCATTCCCGTTCAATGCTCATTGACGTCGGTGCGTGAGATATAACACCTGAATTTAGGTTGCGTCTTTGTGTGCCCGCGTAGTTTCTTAGAAAGGATTTCGTTGTCGGTGAGATGAGAGCAAATTCTGTTGAAGACCAGGTTCTTCGGAATTTGGAATGAGCATGAGAAAAATGGTCAGTCAGAAATAGTATTTTGATGTTTGCTCTTAAAATGCTTTTCGTTTACATTTCTCCTAACATCCCCTCTGTTTTCAAACGCAGCGTGCTCGTAACTTGCAAATGCCTGATTGATTACCATGGGACTGCTTGCAGAATTGCGCTATTGTTGCTTTCATCTGGTTCTGAGGTGGGGACCCCTGAACCTTGCATTACATTCGGACACGGCATGGTGATCAGATACCGCAAGTGTATCAATGCTGACGTGAAGCACGTTGGGTCTCCTGCTAACCACAAGTATTTCAGCGGCCAACATGGGATCTGGCGACTTTACGCTGGGTCAGTTCCTCCCCTCCTGGAGATTGCGTAGATTAACGTACGCTGGACACCGCAGCAGCGAAACTCTCATGCGCACAAATGCACCAGCCTGGAGGAATCCTGCTAAGCGTGCTGCACCATCCATAGATAACAGACCTTGTCTGTCGGTATGCCATGTATGTGTGTCCTGGTGCTCTGCTGCCGAGTGGCTGCGTCAAGTGTAACTGGAGGTGCCTGGCTCTATTTCTAACTCTGTTGTGTCAAGTGTAGCTAGAGATGCTTGGCTCCGTTTCTTACTCCGCTGTGTCAAGTGTAGCTGAAGGTGCTTGGCCCGTTCCCTAACATAGCTGTGTCAAGTGAAGCTGGGGGTGCTTGGCTCCGTTTCTTACTCTGTTGTGTCAAGTGTAGCTATAGGGGCTTGGCTTCTTCTCTAACATAGCTGTGTCAAGTGTAGCTGGATGTGCTTGGCTCCGTCTCTAACTCAGCTGTGACGAGTGTAGCTAGAGGTGCATGGCCTCGTTTCTAAGTTAGCTGCGTCAAGTGTAGCTGAAGGTGCCTGGCTTCGTCACTAACTCAGCCGTGTCAACTGTAGCTGGAGATGCTTGACTCCGTTTCTAACTCAGCTGCGTCAAGTGCAGCAGGCGGCGCTTGGCTCCGTCTCTAACATCGCTGCGTCAAGTGTAGCTGGAGTTGCTTAGCTCCATCTCTAACTCAGCTGTGTTGAGTGTAGCTGGAGGTGCTTGGCTCCGTCTTTAACTCAGCTGTGTCGAGTGTAGCTGGAGGTGCTTGGCTCCGTCTTTACCTCAGCTGTGACGAGTATAGCTGGAGGTGCTTGGCTCCGTCTTTAACTCAGCTGTGTCGAGTGTAGCTGGAGGTGCTTGGCTCCGTCCTTAACTGAGCTGTGTCGAGTGTAGCTGGAGGTGCTTGGCTCCGTCTTTAACTCAGCTGTGGCAAGTGTAGCTGGAGGTGCTTGGCTCCGTCTTTAACTCAGCTGTGTCGAGTGTAGCTGGAGGTGCTTGGCTCCGTCTTTAACTCAGCTGTGTCGAGTGTAGCTGGAGGTGCTTGGCTCCGTCTTTAACTCAGCTGTGTCCGCCGCCACGTTCAGATCACGGTACGCCACCCGGACAACACACCAGCTCCCGGTGAGCTGGTCCGGCTGTGTTTTGAGACCCACCGGACGACGACAGACCTCGGAATCACCATCAAGTGAGTGTCTTCGGTCTTTGTTCTCACCCAATTTTATGAGATTGACCAGCAGAAATGCACTGGTGCTTTAACATTATGAGTTCTTGTGCTGAAAATAACCGAGCTTCGACGTCCCAAGAAGAGCTTGGCATGTGCCAATGGGCTGACGCAAAGCCAGGATCGTAGCTAGCTTGAAACCTGGCCGTCGCTGAAATAATAGTTATCTATGTAAATGCCAGACATGAGAAAGTAAACTGGCTAACCCCCGATCTTTGTGAAATTTGAGCTGACCGGCAGTTCTGGTCATGGGCATATTCTGATATACAGATTATAGACAATATAATTAAACACGCGCTTGGGTGGGGATAATCTAACTCCTCCCCCGAAGGTTCTTTCCAGAATGACCTCCAAACCGCGCTGCTTAGCTTTGCTTCACTGCGTCTAGCTGTGGACAATCCAATAGCCGACAGTTTGTGATTATGGAATTAATGTATCATGTAAGGTCGTTGACCTCTGACAGTTTAAATTCAAGCCATTTGTGTCAGCGGAGGCAACTCCTAGTGAATTGTTATCAACTATGTATTGTATGCGATAGCGGACTGTTAACGAAACCCATACATCCTTGAGATGGTTTCTTGGACAATTATAAATATTATTTAAGATCTTGACAAATTTCAATGACCATGTGTCAGGTTCGAATGATGTTACAGCTGTTTACGGAGCTTTTGAGCCGAGCTTGAGAGCTTGCTATTTTGTCAAAGTAATTTTCACGCTTATTCTGAATTTCTTGCTTACAGAGACACCAGCAAACCTCTTATCTGTACCTCATAAAGACAGATATCACTGGGCTAAAATGGTCCCCATCGACCTACTGTTGTTAATAGCACGCCTTTCGGCGTAGTACTTGCTGCTTTTTAACCTTCAAGACCCACAACTTCGTATGTAGTTGGTGGCCGTGGCTTTCTGAAGGTCAAATAAAGTTACTGACCTGAAATCAACACCAGGCACCTTTGCTTAAGAAATGAATCTAGGTTAAAGGTAGCTTCTTGAGAATGTCTGTAGGCACTTGTGACGCCGAGCTGGTGTTTAAATTTATTTGAAATCTCTGACCCAAAAGTTATGACCCTAAAACCCAACACGAGTGAGTTCACATATTGGTCTACCTATCCCTACTGTATATTTAATATCCATAGATTACTTGCTCTTGGAGATGTCAAGGGTTATCCTGACACCTTCCGCGACCCCAAGCGCGTCGCTGTCATTGGCCACCCGGACGCATGTTAAACGAGTGTAGTCCCCAATGACTGGGAACTTCCCAGTAACTTGGGAAGCGATGCTCTCTAACTCTGCACGACTGTACTTTTGGAGGTCTTCTGCCGATCCGGTCTGTCTGAACGTCACGTCTGACAGCAAAGGTGTGGTCGCGTTCACTCTGCCACCTCAAGATCAGAAAATCGAAGACATATCTATTCAGGTATTTGATAAAACGCTTAAAAATGGTGGCGTTTGTTGTGATAGCAAACGGCAAGAAACTCGGGTTAGCGAGTCTGGGGCTCCGTTTTTGTATCAACATCAGCAATGGGGACTTACGCGCTCGCTGGCCCCGGCGGCGCTTGCCCCTCCCTTATACTATTCATTACATCAATATCTTCGTTACTACATGCTAACACTAGACAACCTGATACAGACACATAAATATAAGTATATCGCGTACGCGCGTTCATGTTTTTATACCATGAGACAAATGTTGTGTGCGTGCGTTGCGCTAACCTAAGTGTTTAATGAAAAGGCATGTGAAGAGTTGGGTAAAAGGGTATAACATGTGCGTGGGTGGTCTAGCTCTCGCAACGTTTCTACTCTTCTGTTTGGTTTCACGCAGTAGACCAGTGAAAGCTGAACGTTCTATGAAGAGAACAGAAACGGCGGGAGAGAGGGAGTGTGTTTGCGAGCGTGCGTGCATGCGTGTGTGCGTGCGCGCGCGCGTGGTATTTGTGTGCGTGTGTGTGTGTGCGCGTGCGCGTGTCCGAGTACGTGTGCGTGTTCTTGTGCGTGTCTGCAAGGGCGTGTGCCTGTACGCGTGCGTGTGCGTGTGCGTGTGCGTGTGCATGTGTGGATGTGGTTTATTTTGCGCGCTGAGGAAGACGATTTCGTCTATTTCATCCTCCTTACTTAGTTGTGACTGACAATGCCCTTCAGGTGTCCATAAGTTAGCATAGTGGAAAGGTATCAGATTTGTAATCGATGCACATTGTCATAGCCTATTCATGTTCCAACGATTACGTAGCTTAATACACGCCCAGGTGGCCGGTTAAATGCACTTCGCTCGGATGGGAAGCCAAACTGACGCCTTGTGATATCAAGTACTAAAGAAAATAGAAGCACATAGCTCACAACTCACAACTCACAGATTGAGTTGGGTGGTATACGGACTCATTTGTGTCAACAGTTGATGTCCATATCAACATAGGTCATGACATCGTGTGAAATAGGGTCAAAGAGTATCAAAAAGGAGACTGATGTCCAAACTACCCCTAGATCTCCTCATGTAACCGCCTTAAACCTAAATTCCGGTTCTAAACAAAAGGTCACTGGTGATCATTTTAGTTCGGTGACCTTGTTTGACCTTCTGATGATGGGGATAGAAAATAAAGAAGATTAGTTTGATTCTGAACTTGAATTCGCTTTAAGGATTACGCTAGGCGGTACGTTCCAAAAACAAAAAGGATAGACCTGGGTCATTCAAGGCCAGCGACCCACTACATATAATAAGTCTATAACATATGTCTGCTGCGGTCCCTGTGTTTAAGAAATTTGAGATATACATCAGAAGCCTTTCAATAAGAAGGTTTTTTATTAAAGAGTATGTTGGTTTGACCTCGGTCTGGAATTCGCACCTGACCCTAGGGCAATGAACTTTGTCACTTTCCAAAATTCAATTGATTTATCACCTAAGAAGCTAACTTAGAAATGCATGGCTTCTTCTAATACTGCCTTGTCGCATCAGACTGAACGATCCTCTAGCTGTCCTTGTTGACGGCTTCGGTGTGATTTTGACCTCCATAGGTCAACGACGTTACAAGGGGCATCTAATTTGGTGAGCTAACAGATCCGCTATTCAATTGCTTACGACTACGCAAACTTAAATGCGGCATTGCGGTGCCGTTAGCCACTTGCTTTGCAATAACTTTTGGGAGAGAGGGCAAATTGACCCCCACCCGAAAGCGGAGTAAAGGCGGTACCATTCCCATGCCGGCGACGTGAAGTCGGAAAAAACTTAATCACTGCGAGAGCGACATTCCAATGACCGTTTACGCGTGGGCAACCACCCAGCTACCCGCGCTCACCGCGCGGGCAAACTTCCGTGGAATGTCAGCCCGGTTACTTTCGCTGCAGGCCACGATACCGCGCCTATCCGAGACCAGGTACCCGTACGGCGGAAGCAGTTGGTCTTTCGCCCGGCGCTATTGGTACCCATCAACATGGATGAGATCGCCCAGACTCAAGTACAACGTTGAGGGCTGGTCTTCTGAGTCAGGAGCCTTTGTGCAGCTGCTTCGGCTGCCCCGCAAGGAGTTCACGTGCGGCACTGAGGCCCGCATTGACGTCTTCTTCACGACCCGTCTGGGATCGCAGTTCGAGCTGTTTTACCAGGTGAGCTACATCGAGAGTGTATTGTACAGACAACATTCAAAAGCTGCAAATGAAGAAGTCATGCTGCGCGGGAGGTAAAATAAGGCACTTCCCTTGTAGATCTCTGAATGTAAAATGTCTTGATGCGATTCAGACTCGGACCTGGCTTTGGACCGACTCAGATTCAGAATCTGATTGATTCTGCCAGTCTGACTGATTCAGGCTGACTTTGGATATCGTGCTCTTGATATTGGCAACAGATACAAATGTTTTGACACCAGACGTCGTTATTTACTTGCGCTAATAGAAGCTATGCTATATAAGAAGACAGGGATGTACCCCTGCCACCGTTTGAAAATGTGCCTATAGCGGTCATGCTGTTGTAACTCGTGAAGCGGAACCGAGGAATGCAGTCGGAGAAGCGTGTTGACCTTGTGTTCACCGGGCGCGTCAGGTCATGGCCAACAGCGACATCTTGCTGGCGGACTTAGTGCCGGTGACGTTTTCCGAGGCGGTCGACGCCTCTGCACTGCAGGAGGGCAGGGTCGTTAACCTGCCCACGGTGTCCGGGTCACATCCCGTCGGTGAGTGAGGCGTCACCGGCTGGTGCGGCTGGGTCGCCTAATCAGCGTCACGATAGACGGAGCGGTTGAAGATATGTCCCTGGCACTGGGCGGTTTGTGGTGCAGAGCGTGTAGCTTAGGAGCTGGCCTGAGTTGAGTATCTTGTTGATGCACGATTTTGCTGCACTCGCGGTGGAAATCGCTCTGTGCCGTTGCAGCGTCACGCACTGCGTCCAACACAGTCAAGCACCGCCGCATATGAAGCGCCTGGCCCAGAACAGTACACAGTACATAACGGACATTATAGCTGAAGGAGTGGCGATGACACCACGCAGCTGATCATGCCGTGCATGACTGAGGAGTGAGAAAACTATGCCCATCTTGGAGCTTGCATGTGTCTGTACCAAGATGTCGGCCCCGTAACAGTTTGTCTGACATACTGTCATCAGCCCGCTGTTACCCATGTGACCGGCGAGCCACGGGCAGCAGAGAAACACCAACCGGTCTGCGTCAACAGGTCAGGTGGCGCTCGCGATCCCAGTGACGTCATCCATGTCCTCGGGCTTCCATGTTCTGGTCTACATGGTGATTGATGGCGAGGTGATCGCGGACAGCCAGTCATATGCTGCGGAGCGCTGTCTGGACAACCAGGTGTCGCTGAGCTGGTCGCCTGACCGCGTCCAGCCGCGGGACACCGTGCATCTGACGGTCACGGCAGCTCCCCGCTCACTTTGTGGACTCGGTGAGTGGTGGGTACTCTCCGTCCACGGAGCGATAGCTTTCGTACAGTGAGTGGTAAGTGCACTCCACCCATGGGAAGACAGTCAGCTCTCAGCGAGTTGTGGGTATTCTCCGTCCACGGGTTGACAATCTTCTTGCAGTAAGTGGTGGGTACACTCCGTCCATAAAGTGACAGGCGGTCTTGGGGGGGGGGAGGGGAGGGGGAACTCTCCGTTTAGGGCGTGATAGTCGGTTCTTGGTGAGTGGTGGACACGCACCATCCACGGGATAATTTATCGTCTGCGTCCGCCCTTGTCCCCCTTCTCAACATTTGTCTTGGCCAATACTTTACTTAAAGCCAAGCCCATCAACGGCTGGCTGCTTTCAGTGTGCATTGCGTGCTTACGTCATTGGAGTGATCGTGCAAAGTCCGAAACTACTTCAGTCCCAGCATCTGCGAAGTTTCCGTCTTCTTTGTTATGTTGTGTCACTGCTATAGTGCGTGCCGTTCCATGAGAGGTTATGTAGTGACTACGGCATTTTCTAAGTGCATTTGCGAGGGACATGATGCATTTATATAAGACAGCCCTGTTGGCCTTGTTCCTGGTTGAATTATTAGAAAGGGGAGATAACACAAATTAGAAGTAAATTCAAAATTGCCTGCCGATCCCCCTCGATACTTGCTTTTCTTCAAACAGCCAGCCACAGCTGTTTTTAACCTAAGAATTTTGTTAGGATCGGCAGGCGACTTCCAATTTTACTACTGGTATTCCTTTCGGTCAAGTCTTATAGCCGAAATATAAATACATCTGTCTCTCCTTTCTCCTGGTTAACCTAGAGGAATAAGGCAAAAAGTACTGTTGTATCGTTACGTAATGATATTTGTCATGCCTGCAAACGTGTGTGTACTTCGCGGCGAAGCGTGTCACCCCGCTTTTGTGCGATGTGTATGAGGACCCCGCCATCAAGTCGGAGGATAAGGTCATGCAACAGCGCAAGTGCTCCAGGCATCAGTGGCTCCACATGTATGTGACCATTGACCATGCATGAAGTCATGATACAAATCACTTCACTGTCGTTGAGGCCAACTCTCGAGCTCGTCAACCAAGTGCAGTCTGCCAACCTTTTTGTAAGATCAAACACTAGAGTTTCGCTTTCTTTCTTTTTTGCGCGCGCATAGCTCCGTTGTACTGATCTGAACACACCATGCACCCTCCCTGCTTGTGCACGTTCGTTTGTGTACAGTGCTTTACATCAAAAATGATCATTATCATGTTCGCGTTACCACGTACCATGCGACTACCTACTTGTGTTTGTTATGAAAATTTCACGAGAGGTCGAATACCCCGAGTGTGAAGAACATTTCAGAGAGCTTAGCACGCGCTCACGTGGATTTACAACGTAATTTCCGAACAACGCGGTGTGCATCGCGGTGTTGCGCTAAATGTTGCAAAACTGTAATCAAACGAGTATTTGATAATTTGTTATACAAATATTAGACGCACTACGTGAGGTCGCTGATCTATTGCAGGTTAAAGTCTGGCGGTGATTATCAGCTGAGACAATTTCTAGGGAATCCTTCAATCTGATGAAACAACGGATTTTTAGCCGAAACATTGCATCTCTGATATAGCTTCTCTGGGCGATCAAACAGTCCTATTGAGAATTACAATAAATAACATTGACCTAGGGCCAAGTGTAGAGGTCAGACCGAGGTCAAAACCAACATATTTTTTACTTGAGGTTGTGCTCCATGTGGTAGCTTATGGTGCTCATTTCAAATTCATTAATGTTGGGGACCAGAACACACATCTTTCGTGGACTTCTTAAACGTCAGAGTACGTCACTGACCTAAAAGTACACCGGTCAACATCTTTTCAGGAGCAAACCACCTAGCTTGATCCTTGACGCATATTCAAATATAAAAACAAAGATAACATAGCGCTTAAGTTGTTCAGTGCATTCGCGAGGAATATTTTTTACTTAGATAAGACAAAAGTAATAGCCTGATTTTTCGGAGAAACACCAGGAGAATGGAGAAATAGACTGGTTTAATGTAAGATGGGATAACGTAATCAAACAATGTAATATGATACTAATATAATACCAATCTATTTCTCCATTCTCTAGGTTTTTCTCCGAGGAATAAGGCTATTGGTACTCACATAACATATGGCTTCGTTAACCATGACTTTAATGTTTCATAAGGTAACCGACCTTAAATGAACATCAGTGATAATTTTCTCAGAACGGTATTCAGGCTGGAGGCGGTTGCACGAGGAGGTCATGGCACACTTTAGACGCCAGTCTGCTGTTAGACTTTTTACCCCATTTGGCCCAAATGTCATGACCCAGGAACCTCAAATTTTGACAGCTGATAACAACTACGTGATTACAATCAGGTGATTTTGACTCGCATACCAGCCTACCCACCCTGTAGATATGGCAGTTGTAGCTTTTCAGGTGGTGAAGCCTTAGGGGTTACTTGCTCGCCCTCCAGCCACCGCCCAAGCGAAGGGCATTCAACCGGCCACCTGGGCGCGTGGTAATATGATTAGAAGTTCAGTCCCCTCATGGTGGATTATACCATTATGCGTCTTTTCTAGCGCAAAACAAAGTTCAGTACATACTGTTTCGGCGCAGATGCCATATGCCGACTGCAAACACTAGCAACATACTTAATATTTGTTTGGCTTTTTGTATGATTCGCGCCGTTAAAAAGCGACCGTTTCCTTTTCCTTTGTGCAAATTATGATCTCTCGCAAAAAGCATCGCGTTTCTTAGGGCTGAATAGTTGAATGCGTGATGAAATATATCGATAGGTGAATGTGTGGTGTTATATCACGATGAAATCCGTTTGTAGATGTGGTTGACAAATCGGTGAGCCTACTCGGCGATAAGAGCAAGATCACGCTGTCTGACATCTATGAGAGCCTTCGAGTTCTCACCTCGCGTGTTGGCATCAGTCAGATCAACGACGACGAGTACTGCAGGGCCAAACGTGAGTACAGTCAGTGCGGCTCAGGCATTTGCAACACCGCATAGGAGTGCACACTGTTTTTCGGGCAAGACGTGTGGCATTAGAGGGAATGATAAACATTTGAAGGCGTTGAAGCATGCATCACATGTGATGAAATAGGATCGCTTACAGCTATAGGTATGCTTGTGAGTGGAAAAGACTGCTTATTACTGTTACTGTTATCGCACCTTACATTACATCGACTGACAGCCAACTAACGGCCATTATGTCCGGAAGGCGTGCTCACCAACGCCAGGCATGGACGACTCAACAAAATTTTTGCCTTTTATTGCCGTGTGGCTAATAAAATTACAGGATCTAAATAGCGTCATTATGGCGGCATGGATGTCTGGGTGACCTTGAAATAGTCTCCCCGAAATAGTTTACACATCTTCCCCGGCGTGAACCTCAGAAACAATAGAGGTTTAGGTTTCAAGAAGGGCAGAACTGTGAACTGGACCAAATGATCTTGAAGATGACTGGTTCAGTTCAAAACCCCATATAAAAATGAAGCACTCCCTCCAAAATGGATACTTTCGGAAGCGTATACGGGATGTATGGTTATTTGATGTTAATAATGTGGGGGAGATTAACCAATGGCTGAACTAGATAAACCAATGTTAAGGTTCGTAGACAATTCACTAGTGTTGTTCGTTCCGACCTTCCACGTTCAGGTTAGGTTCGTCGGGCCTGCTCTTGTTTTCCGTTGTCATCGAACATCCAAACACTGAACAGCCAATAGCTTCGGGCTAAACGACCTCAGGTCCTCAGTCTGTGTCACCAGGTCATGTGTGACGTCACTTACGTCCGTCTCACGTGTGGGTGACGTAACTCTGGTGTGTGCCAGACGGACTGCCGCTGCTCTCGGACCCCCCTGGCTCCCCACCAGCCAGGCGGAGGAGGCCGTTCCAGTCGGGTATTACTAGTACACCACTGCGGCGTTACTCTTGGGCTTCGACCCATGCAGATTCGCTCACCGCATTCGGTGTAAGTATTCGACCAACTGAATGCCGAATTAACTGTAAGGAGACAGACAATACTCCGAAAACTGTCTGACAACGCTCCTGTCAGGTGCTGCCAACACACATGCAAGAAACTGCTTTTTCGCAGTGTTTTGCAGCTGACGTGCATATTTTGTACTTGGCGTTTCCTTCGGCGTCACATGCTGTAGCTGCATTGCTCGATGGTCGTGTCTATGCTGACCTGGCACGCCTGGCACCGTTCTGTTTCAGAGCAGCTCAGTCATGGTGTTGTCCGACCTTGTCACCGAGGCGCGCAATTGTATTGCCAAAATCCTCCCATATTATCCTCGGCGTCCTACCTTTGCCTCCGGAGCCATCATTACTGAAAGCGATTGGGCTATAGGCGCTGGCATCTCCAGACCATTTTCAACAGCCACACGACAACAAACGACATATTCCAGCTACGTCACTTCCACCAAAGGTGCGTTCCCATCTAGCCGACCCAATACCCGGCACCAAAAGCCAAGAAATGGATTGCTCTCTGATACAGCTAATTTGACGCAAGTCCTTCACCCGCGCTAGTCACAGGTGGTGGTGCAGTGTAGTAATAACCTCATGCATGATTGTTTTCCACACCCATCAACCATACGATGATGATCCACGACTGATTTGTGTCTTTTCGGAGGCCTGTGGCGTCGTGTTCTTACACAGTTCTCGTAGAGTACAGTTAATAAAGGGAAAGAGAGCATGCGCTCGCTGCTCTTAGGCGACGTGCTCACACTCCACCGATGCCAGCAGTCCCGGACCCGGTCCCCTCAGTAGTGGTTTCCAACGCCCCGGCGCCGCCTCCGTCCGAGGTGCCTGACGAGGTTCGCACCGACTTCCGCGAGACGTGGTTGTTCGACCTCTACACAGTCGGGTCAGTGGACAAACGTGGATGCACCGACTAGGACGAGGCTGCCTTGGATGTGGGCTTGAGCCGTTGATTCTCGTACTCGGATGCTGCTCAAGGGTTTGCTGAAACTATCATGAACACGAATAGCTATGGTTTTATGTCGTTCGAGTGCGGTCACGTATACATGTAACCATTGAGCGCAGTGTGTATAATGCGTCCTCCTAAAAATCGAAACTAATAGAACTTGCAAGGTGATGTTAGGAAACATGTTTGCAATCTCCTGGTTGTGGAAACATTATGTGTTACTGCGCTGAGAATAGCCTTGGAATACCAACGAAGTCGGCTAGATCAAGCTATCATGCAATCATTGGTTCTGAAATCAAACCTGGCCGGTGCTATACTTGAGTCTAATCACAACAAATGATGCCAATTTCTCGATATTGCCCTTTACCGAACACATTCTAATACCCTAAGCGTCGGTCCTTTTCAGCACTATAACTCGCCACGCCATATGCAGGAACTAGGACAGGTACACCATCAAGCCAGGATTCCGTGCCGCTCCTCACATGCAGGAAATAGGACAGAGTTACACCATTAAGTCACGATTCCGTACCGTTAGTCATGTTCACATAAAAAATCGCCATGCCACATGCAGGAACTAGGACAGTTACACCATCAAGTCACGATCTCGTGCCGCTCCTCGGTCGCCTGGCCAGTGTCACAGCCGGCCACCCCGCACCTGGCAGGGACGACGGCTCGGTGACGTTGACACAGAAAGTACCGGACACCATCACCGAGTGGGTAGGCGGAGCCGTGTGCAGCTCGGAGACGGCCGGCCTTGGCGTGGCGCCGTCGGCCTCCCTCACCAGCTTCCAGCCGTTCTTCGTCAGCTACACGCTGCCCTACTCGGTGAAACGCGGCGAGACGCTCGTGCTCAAGGTCTCGGTGCTCAACTACAACGAAGAGGCACTGCCGGTGGGTCCTCGCTGCTCTCCTGAGCGCTCTGTTCCGCTCGTGTTATCTTGCTCGCTCGTGTTATCTCTGCCCGTGCTCGGCGTCACCACACGTCACATGCTGGATAAAATTGAATCCAGCACTAGCTGTACTAGCTGTCCGCTCGGACCTTACTGGTCCCATGCGATATCCCGCCGGTCCTGTGGACGCTAAACATGCACCGGCGCCTGTGGCCGCAGGTCAAGCTGACACTGGTGGCGTCGGACGAGTTCGAGACGCTCTCGGCGCCGGTGGTGACCTCGTGCGTGTCGACCGGCGTGGCCGAGGTCGTGCCGTACCGGCTGCGGCCCGGCCAGCTCGGCGACGTTAACATCACCGTGGTGGCTGAAGTGTACTCCGACTTCCCCGCCGAGTGTGGGTCAGAGGTGGTGCCCTACTTCAGGTGTGTGGCGTTACGCGTTGCGGGAGTACGGAGCGTGGCGCACACCGTGTGAGTCAGCTTTAAACACGGCAGGTGTGCGTAACCGAGACACGAGCCCAGACACCCTGGTTTGCGTGGGATGTTAAGAGTTGCAAATGAACCGGTAGTGTTCCCAATTCAGTCAGGTGCATGTACGTTTGTGCCCTTGAATGGCATACAGGTATCCGCAGAAAAATCAAAATGTCAGCATTTTTTTTCGTTTCGATTAAACCTGAAGGCGTAATTGCTCTCAACCGATTTCTCATTTTACGGTGAATGCATGCAGCCAACACGACTACCACCTGCGCAGGGATGCCGTGACCAGGCCGATTCTGGTGGAGCCGGAGGGCTTCGAGCATGAAGTCAGCCACTCCTTCTTCATGTGCATCAGCCGTGAGTGCGCCGCCCAAGCGGATGTTAACGGAACGACTCATGCCGGTGCCGGTGTAGCTGCAGGCTAGTGACGGTCTGGAGGGCGCGACGTTGCTGGCAGTGTTGGGACGCACGTACGCTCAGCCGTGTGTTGGCGTAGTTTCCTTGATCGCGACGCGGCTTTCATCGTCCCGCCGCATGGCTACGGACGTGTCCTGTACCGCAGTAGGGCTCGCCCTGTTTGGGTACCGCTTCCCTGACCCGACCTGTGCGCCGGCAGCGGAGGGTGCCGACCTGTCGAGCGGACCGAATAGACGGGAGGTTGACTGGCCGCTGCTTCTGCCGGCCGACCTGGTGCCCGACTCCGAGCGGGCCCAGATCGCCGTCGTCGGAGACCTGCTGGGACCCAGCATTGACGTACGTCACTTGCGCACTATACTCAATGGCAGATGCTCGCTGGATGTGCTCGACAAAATATATCATCGTGAGGCTGAAGTAGTTTTCGAGTAACCTGCTGTACAAGTCATGGCCTTCTCTGTTGGCACATCCTTATGCTCCCAGCTGTGTAACGTATGGCCACGGCCCACTTTTGCTCTAGTTATTTTCGTTTACGTCATTAATGTGATTCCCTCCGCTATCATGGATGCGTTAACTGTGCCGTTTAAAGCCAAAGCAGATATGTTCAAGCTTTCTGTACTTCTCAGAACCTGGAGTCGCTGGTACGGCAACCAACCGGTTGCGGCGAACAGAACATGGTACTCTTCGTTCCCAACATTCACGTCATGAAGTATTTGACTGCAGTTGGTGAACTGACTGAGCGAATCAAGGATAAACTTGTCAGCTTTATGAGATCAGGTACTCGGTTGATCAGGCTGGGAATAACATTGCACTAGCACACAAATGTCCGGTACAAATTAGTAAAAGTTGACATATCATATTCAGCGTCGTGCCCTGAAGTCGTTTTATCCCGTTCTATGTAACGTTTATTACTGAAGTCCTAACTAGTATGAGGTTCACATACCAAATTGTGAACCCAAATGATCACGCATGCGTCAGAACCAAGCTATCGTTTCTTGGTATTTTGCACCAAGCAACCGAACAAGTCTTCTGATTTAAACTGCTCATGGTAGTTCGCACCACCAGAGCAGATATATTATTTGGTGTAAACCTATTTCCTTAAGATAGAGCCCCTTTTAGGAGCCTTTCATGGACAGCTGAGCTCAAAACTCGTGAGACTTCCAGAGCGCTCGTTACCGTGACCTTCGTGACCCGTGTCTCGCCCCAGGCTACCAGCGCGAGCTGGGCTACCGTCACGAGGACAAATCCTACTCGGCATTCGGCAAGTCGGACGCCTCAGGCTCCATGTGGCTGACCAGCTTTGTCATCAAGTCGTTCGGTGACGCAAAGGAGTTCATTTTCATCGACGAGTCTGATCTGGAAGGAAGTGTGCGATGGATCGAATCCCATCAATTGGGTAACGGCTGCTTTCCATCTGTGGGGACGGTCCTCTACAAGCAAATGAAGGTAGGATCTTGTGTTTGTCTGTATTTATTCCCTTGCGCCCGTGGCACGCTGTCATATGTTCGCCTTCAAACTACCTTTAACCAAGTATCTACAACTGAGCGGATTGAAAAGCACATGTAGTTACCGCTGGATCTGGGGGAGGGTGGGGCGCACTACATCGGCTGATTGACGGAGGGATCCATGTGTGGTTTTTCGTGTTGCATACTCACCACTCATACTTGTGCAGCCGTCTTTGCATGCTGTCACCCTTGGCCGGTTGTCCTCTGACCCGTCAGCCAACGGCGAAGTCCATTGCCGTTTGCCCCGATCCTCACGTGATAGCCGTTGTTCCCTTTGGGGACCCAGCCGATGCCTGCGGAGACCAGCAAGGCTGACGTGTTTCAGGGCGGCGTTGGGTCCGGCGGCCAGCAGGCGCTGACGGCCTACATCACCATCGCGCTGCTGCAGTCGGGGATCGAGCTGGGCGAGAACACCGTCCACGGCGCCTTCCGCTGCCTGACACAGGTCAGCCAACGGCTCAGAGACACGTGTGATCGCTGGAGGCGATTTCTGGAAAAGAGTTTGGCGACGAGACTGACTCTAGATAGGTCGGCAGTTGAGGTTTGAGTTAATGAGTTTGAAGGGCGCGGCAACTGCATTGGCTATTTGCGTAGGTCGGCATTTCTTCACTGTGCGATGCATGTTAGAGCCTTGCTGTTGATGCTTCATCTTATTTTGGTGGCTTTGGCCTACATGGTTCCGAAAGTTTTTTGAGGTATTGCCAATAGGTATCGTGCTCAGTCACTCAGTTCGTACATATAAACGTAATATTGCACATGTGGTTCAACTTGCACCCTCATGATCTAGCCTCTGCCTTGGTACCCCCGCAACAAGCCCGTAGGCTCCGCGGGACGAACCTAAAAGCAGCCGAGAATGACTGTTGCATGAAATTTATCAGGAAATTTTGTTGTGGCCGAGGTAATAATCGCTTTTGCCTTCTGTAACAATATCACTCGCTCCCTTCTACCTCACCATACAACAGAATACCAGACAAAAATGTTTCAGAAGCGGACCTTATGTGCAGAAAGCGATAAAATGATCCATGGATGAAACAAACGTGCACCGTTGCAGTCAGGGGCACAGCCAGAAATTCTTCAATACGGAGGGGTGTGTGGGTAGGGTCGGAGCTCGCTGAGTGCTTGCCATAAAATCAATGAAGGAGTCCTCTATGGTGCTTAGTAAAACATGCGTTGCTTACAGTGGGGAAGAAGGGCAGCCTGCCTCCGCCGCCCGTTCTCTGGCGGTGTCCGGTTGTGGTTGTGCTCCCGATGGACGCATGCACTATACCATACCGCACTATGTAGGGAGGCGTCCGACTAAGCAGCACAAAATTGGGTTAAACAGCTCACCAAAAGGCTGGTCTTTCTTGTCTACCGCCGTGCGCAGGAACGCACTCCACTAGCTTTTATTACGCCTGTTGCCTTTGTATGCACATAGACGTGAGTGACTTAGCGCTGTAGGATAGCTACCCCTGAGGCCGTGTTGGACACCGCTCACCGTCCGTGGGTTAGCTACCGCCGGGACCGTGTTGGACACCGCTCACCGGCCGTGGGTTAGCTACCGCCGAGACCGTGTTGGACACCGCTCACCGTCCGTGGGTTAGCTACCGCCGGGACCGTGTTGGACACCGCTCACCGTCCGTGGGTTAGCTACCGCCGGGACCGTGTTGGACACCGCTCACCGTCCGTGGGTTAGCTACCGCCGGGACCGTGTTGGACACCGCTCACCGTCCGTGGGTTAGCTACCGCCGGGACCGTGTTGGACACCGCTCACCGTCCGTGGGTTAGCTACCGCCGGGGTCGTGTTGGACACCGCTCACCGTCCGTGGGTTAGCTACCGCCGGGACCGTGATGGACACCGCTCACCGTCCGTGGGTTAGCTACCTCTGGGACTGTATTCGTCGCCGCTCACCGTCTGTGGAATGCCATGTCAGCCACCGCTCACCGTCTGTGGAATGCCATGTCAGCTACCGCTCACCGTCCGTGGAATACCATGTCAGCCACCGCTCACCGTCCGTGGAATACCATGTCAGCCACCGCTCACTGTCCGTGGAATGCCATGTCAGCCACCGCTCACCGTCCGTGGAATGTCATGTCGGCCGCCGCTCACCGTCCGTGGAATGCCATGTTGGCCGCCGCTCATCAGCCGCCACGTGCCTTCCCCAGGACATCAGCTCTGACCTGTACACGCTGACCCTGCTGACGCACGCGCGCGCCGTGGCCGGCCGCCTGGACGAGGCGCGGTTTGGTCTGACAGAGCTCAAGAGCCGCGCCACCAGGGAGGAGGGCCTGGTGTACTGGCGCAACGAAGGTGAGAGTCATCCCTCCGCACCAGCACAACAGTAACACTCACTGGAGGGAGCGGTGCTGTGAACGTCCGAAGGCTAGTTGATCAGCCTGTGATAGCTGTGGTGCTTTAACAACTGTCATAGTATGCTTGCAGAATGCGTTGGTGAAGGCTGACTGTGCACAGTTGTGTGTGCTCTGTACTCTTTCGTGTGTTTTGATGGAACTCTGCAGTGAGCGCATATGAAATATGACACCATTTCCGCATTTCACTGAATCTAATGTACTGAACGCACCTTCCTCAATTCCTGGTCTATCCTGAACAGCGGTTAACCAGCGTACTTTCAAAACCTTATCGTGGCGTACGTCACCAGGCTCTGACGAGAATCGGGCACTCAGCGTAGAGATGGGTGCCTATAACATCCTGACGATGAAGCTGCTGGAGAAAGCCGGTGACGACAGAAGCGAACACTTAACCGACGCGTTGGGTGCCGTGCGCTGGATCACCCAGCAGCGCAACAGTCGCGGCGGCTTCGTGTCCACGCAGGTCATAGAAATCACTGGGGTGGACGTCATGTGTCTGCCGGACTAGCTGGTCACGACACCGCCACACGTTGCCTGCTGTCTGTCTTACATGTGTGGCTTGTTTGCCCCCTCAGAACGGTCTGTTTTACCTGTTTGTCCTGTTCACTCCCGACGGAGGGGCCTGTCTCGTACATGTGTATCCTGCATACCCCCTCCCTCTTTACCCCTACCTCATACCCCTGTGTATCCTGCTCACCCCTCACGGATGGGACTGCCGTAATTGTGTGGTTTGTTCACTCCCCACGGACGGGTCTGCCGTACCTGTGTGTCCTGCTCAATACCCTCGGAGGGGTCTGTCCTACCTGTGTGTCCTGCTCACTCCCGGGAGGGGACTGCCACATCCATGTGTTCTGCTCACTACCCGCGGAGGGTTCTGTTGTACCCCTGAGTCCGGCCCACTCTTATCGAATGGGTTCTACAATGTCCTGTGCGCTGCTCACTTGGCGGGCGGTCGTGACAGGATACGGTGCTGGCGCTGGAGGCACTGGCCGCCTTCTCGGCCGACCTGCTTGGCTCCAGCAGCACCGACCTGCGAGTACGCGTCTCCGATGACGGCTCGCTGAACGACGTCATCAACGTGACGGCGGACAATCTGCTACTGATGCAAACTCGTGACGTCACGCTGCTGCCAGGTCACGTCCACGTCAGAGCACAGGGCACCGGCTGCGCCCTGGTGCAGGTCAGTGGTGGAGCAACCGTGTTAAGCCATGGTAAGGTCGGGGTGGTACCGGCTCCGCCTTTGTAAGGGTCAGTAGTAAAACGCCCCACCTGGTAAACTATGGCAAGGTGGAGATGGCACCGGCTGCGCCCCGGATGAGAGAGAGAGAGAGAGAGAGAGAGAGAGAGAGAGAGAGAGAGAGAGAGAGAGAGAGAGAGAGAGAGGAGAGAGAGAGAGAGAGAGAGAGAGAGAGAGAGAGAGAGAGAGAGAGAGAGAGAGAGAGAGAGCGTGAGAGAGAGAGGGAGAGGGAGAGACAGAGAGAGATTTGGTGGCGGTAGAGTCAGAGAGATGTGCAGGAGGGCAGAGGAAGGAAGATGATCTGTGCTGTTGGGTTGCGCTGGCATACTTGCAGTTGCTGGCATACCTGCAATGGAACCTTTATGATAACTGATGTGTACTGAAGCAGGTCACACGCACGGGAAGCTCAGGTGGTGCCAGATGTACCCTATTTCACATCAGAGCCGGCATCGAATGCAACGCCGGCCGTGCAGTCTAGGTGCCAGACCCGCAGGGGCACCAGCTTCGGTCGGCGTAGGGGACTAGCGCCCCCTCGGGTGCCAGCTCCGGTAACGGGTGGACAGCGCAAGCTGTTACTCTCAGGGCGTAGCGACCCTGCCGGTACGTGAGCTCCTGCTCCTTGTCCCGCCCGCTCCCTCCACATTACCCTCACTCCCGCATCCGGCCCTATCACCACTCCTCATCCTCGTTTTATCGGGGTCGCCGTGCCCCCTCGCCCACGTCCCCGGGCTGATCGGATCCTGGTGGCTGAGGGGCGCGTCGTGCGGGTCAGTCACGGCGCGCCCCAACACTCCACTTTGGCCAGGATATCCGTGGCCAAATACCCGTATACCAGGCCGATATCCGTATATCACGGGCGTGGGGGGGGGGGGGGCCGTGGGGCCCCACGCGGGTCCAGCGGCTTGTCGCTCGCGTTGCGGTTGGGTGCCCCTTGCGGGTCTTCGCTTGGGGCGCGTGGCGGCGCGCAGCGGCTTAAGGGGTCAAGGGGCGGCGGCGCTGAACCACGGTCAGGACGGGGAGGGGTCTTCCCGGTTACACCTGGCTGTGTGGGAGGCGTCGTTCTCCCCGTATAGCACCGGGGTAGCCCTGGCGGTGACCACCTTCCTAGGGAGTGTTGAGCCGTCCCCCAGTTGGGTTCCGTGGTGGGTGGGGAGCCCCGGTGCCGAAATGCAAACCCCTTTATGCATGGCATCCTCTACCTTTAAAAACTCCCGTCCTCCGAAAGGGGGGCGGACCTCGACAACTCCAGGGTGCAGAGGCGAACCTGCTATCCCCGGACCACGGATCCTCGTCTTCGGAAGTGACGAGATTAGGTTGGCGTCCCTGTCACCGTTTCAGAGAAGAAATGGCTGCGACAAATTTGGAAAAGTTAAAAGATGTGACAAGCTCCGAGATGGAAAAATAGAAGTTGAATTTGCTAGTGACTTGGAGGCGAGTCGGGCTATGGAAGCAACTGAATTTTCGTACAGTTTTCGGGATGGGGCTGGCAAACGCGAAAAAACGGTGTCAATGTCGGCGACACCACATAACACGAAAAATTCGTCCCGGGGCGTGGTGAACTGTTTTGACCTGCGTGACGTTGACGAGCAAGAGATCGTGGAGGAGCTCTCAGAGTTTGGAGTGGCCACCGCTCGACGGATTCATGTCAGAAGGGGAGGAGAGTTAGTGCCCACGAACAACTTTATACTCACGTTCAGTCGCCCCGACATACCATCCGAGATACGTGTGGGACACGTCTGCGTAAAAGTTCGTCCGTTTTTGCCTAACCCCATGCGGTGCTATCAGTGCCAGCGATTTGGTCACACGAAACCCAACTGTCGGAACCGCGCTGCGTGTGGCAAATGTGCGTCCCTCGAGCACATGAGCGAAGAATGTACTTCTGACAATCCCCACTGCGTCAACTGCGGCAAGGACCAGGTTCCGCACATGTCCTACGACCGTGCATGTCCAGCCTACGCTGAGGAGAAGGAAATCATATCAATCAAAACTTCTCGAGACGTGTCGTTCCGTGAGGCTCGAGAACTTTATTACGAGACCCATCCAAAAACATCGTACGCATCGATAGTGAAAGCTTCGTTGCCGCGCACCAACGTGATCGAGGATATGACGGCTGTTCAATTTATGGAACTTTTGAGATCGTTTGGCCCATCAGTTGTACCCTCAGCACGCGCCCCGGACTCACAGCCAGCACCCCAAGCTCCCTCCGCACCAATCGAGCAGTCGGTGGCCGCCGTGCTGCCGGCCTCCTCGGCACCAGTTGGATCGCCAACATATGACGGGTGGACGACGGTTCGGCGTGGCCGCAGCCCTCGCGCGCCTTCCGGTATTCCTTCGTCTGAGAAACCACCGGTCTCCTCATCACAGACACCCCTCACCAGTGCATGTGAACGTGTAGCAGAGACGATGGAGCGTCAAGAAGCTGACAGGCGCGCCCGCGAAGCCAAGCGAGCGCGTCTAGTTGAGCAAGAGAGGGCGAAGGCGATTAGCCGGCTGCCGGGGGCGGATCAGGGACGTGCTCCCGCAGGGGAAGCCGGTCCACCGCCCAGACGACGCGCAGAGGTCTCTGGTGGATCCGAGGCTCGGAAGCCACCGATGGGCCCTCCTCCTGCGCCGCCATCTAGGGTCACGGCTTCGCCGGCGCCGTCCCCGTCTAGAGTGGGGCGCCCGGAAAAGCGTGCCCCCCCCCCCCTGGCCAATCTCGCCCACAGACGGCAGCCCACGTATTCGGCCCGAGACCCGGCCGGCGTCGGTGGGATCAGACCTTGGTGGGTCCCTGCACCCCGTTGCTGGACCGTCTGGGTCTGCTGTGGCCGGCGCAGCCGAGTATTTTTAAAAGTAGGTCTGTTTTACACTCACAACCCAAACACATGCACCCCGCCCTCCGGTAGGCGTAGATACCATCGAGTGATAGGAAGCTAACGACCGTCCTGACCTCTTAGCTTCATGACGAATGTTTTACAGTGGAACTGCAGGTGCTCCAGACAAGCTACCAGGATATCCAACCATGCATTAACGAGCAGCATCCGGCGGTGACATGTCTCCAGGAGACAAAACTGGCACCGGACAGCGTTTTTAGTCTTTCGGGTTATGCTGTTTGGCGGCGAGACTTACCACCTGACCCTGCTGCTCGTGGTGGCGTTCTCCTAGCCGTGCACCACAGCGTGTGTGCACAAAGGCTGGCTTTGAATACTGAGCTTCAAGCTATCGCAGTAAAGTGTTGTTAAACTGCCATACGATCACCATATGCTCAGTCTACTTGCCTCCGGGGATCGGGTTTCCGTCTGCTCATCTGAGACACCTGGTGGCTCAGCTTCCGCCGTCTGTCCTCATTTTAGGTGACTTTAACGCTCACCACTCAGCGTGGGATTGTGTCAAGACAAACACTCGCGGGAAACGCTGCGAAGCCCTCATACATGAAGAATCGCTGTGCCTCTTAAACACGGGGCGCGTACCCATTTTACACTCCCATCGGGACAGGCATCGGCAATCGACTTAAGTCTTTTGAGCCCACAACTGATCAACCATTTTGAGTGGTCGGTGTCAGACGATCCAATGGGAAGTGACCACTTCCCCATCTGGATCAAGTACCGGGCTGACGTTTTTCTTGGTTCTCGGCCACAGCTCTGGAATTTTAGAAAAGCCGACTAGACTGAGTTTCAAGCGAGGATCGAGCATTCCCTTACTATGCAGTCAGCGAGTGAACCGCGTCGGTAGAGGATTTGACATCGCTGATTTTGCGGTCTGCAGAAGGGTGCTTACCGCGAACGTCGCGCTGCCCTCGTCGTCCTCCTGTCCCATGGTGGACGCAGCAGTGCCGGGACGCAATCTGTGCACGTAGGAGGGCCCTCAGAAAGTTTGAACGTCGGAGCACTACTGAGAATCTTATTGCATTTCGACGAGCACGAGCGGCTGCTAGACGTACCATTCTAGAGGCTGAGCGGGCACCGTGGCGATCGTACGTCGGCCAACTAAACTGCCAAACACCTGTATCCAATATATGGTCGCGGATCAAACGCATTGCGGGACAGCACTCGTCTGTACCACACCCTGTGCTCCGTATCAATGGACGTGACATTATACACCCAGCTGACGCAGCAAAGGAAATCGCCCGCGCATTCTCCGAACGGTGTGGTAACGGCAATGCCGTCCCGCAGTTTATGCGTCACTGGATCCGCTGCGAGGCATCCACTGTCGACTTCAGCACGACGGAGCAGATGTCGTATAACCGACCTTCTACAATGGCCGAACTAATTTCCGCGATCGGATCGCTGCGCAATGTGGCAGAGGGTCCGGATCTAGTTTACAACGCCATGCTTAAGCAACTTGCCACTTCAGTAGTTGAGGCCCTCTTAGCGACGTACAACAATCTCTGGGAGAATGGAGGTTTTCCGGAGTCGTGGCGTGAGCCACATGTTGTCCTTATGCTCAAGCCTGGTAAGAGTGGGGCTGACCCTGCAGACTATCGCCCTATCTCACTGACATCATGCATTTGTAAGTTGATGGAACGTATGGTAAATGTGCGTTTGTCGTGGGTTTTGGAGCGGTACAGCGTTTTTACGGCTGCTCAGTGTGGATTCAGGAAAAATCGCAGTACCATTGACCATCTTATAGCTCTCGACACAAACATCCGCACCAGTTTTAGGGAAAAACGACATGTTTGCGCTGTGTTTTTTTATGTTGAAAAAGCCTATGATACGACGTGGTTTTACGGCATCCTGAAAAAGCTCTTTCATTATGGCATTCGAGGAGCCATGGGCACGTTCTTAGCGGACTTTATGACCGATCGTTCTTTCAGAGTTCGTGTTGGCTCACACTTCTCGGATAGGTACCAACAAGACAATGGCGTGCCCCAGGGCAGCGTTTTGAGCGTCGCTTTGTTCGCGGTTATGATGAACGATATTGGTGACTCCCTTCCAAAGTCGGTCAGCCGCTCTCTCTTCGTGGATGACGTCGCCATCTGGTCTGCCTCGTCAAACTTTGCCTCTTTGGAACGTCGCTTGCAGTTGGCTGTGATCAGCCTGGAAAGATGGAGCGTTACAAACGGACTACGTTTCTCGACCTCGAAAACAGTCGCTATGCACTTTTGCAGACGACGTCGTCAGTGCCCCGCTATGGCTTTAAGGCTATACGGCCAGACCATCCCGAACGAATCCAGCACCCGCTTCTTGGGTCTGCAGTTTGATAACCGTTTATCGTATGGGTCACATTTGAAAACCCTACGTGACAACTGTTTTAAAACATTGAACATATTGAAGTATGTGTCTCGAACATCTTATGGAGCGGACAGAAGAACACTGTTACTGCTAGACCGCTCACTTATACGTTCGAACCATGACTATGGCTGTTTTATTTATGACCGCGCGCCGAGTTCCTGCAAACGTTTTTTAGACACCGTGCACCACACCGCATTACGCATTGTGACGGGGGCATTCAGGACGTCGCCAGTTGCTAGCCTTACCGTGGAAGTTAATGAACCGGCGTTGGCACTGAGAAGGGAAATGCTTGGCATGGGGTACTTTTGCAAGCTTGCTCAATTTCCCAACCATCCGACTCACCGAACAATCTTTTCACGTGATGTGGAAATGAAGTTCCAAAGTAGCGGAAGGCTGTCCGCTATTCCATTTGGTGTCCATATGAAGAAGCTGTTCCGGGAAAGCGACATGAGTTTGCGTGGTGTGCAAGGTCGCGTCCCGCATTAGTGCCTCCATGGGAGCTAATCTCACCGCAAGTGGATGTCTCCCTTTCATGCACAAGCAAACGGGGAGCGATCCCATGCGACCTGAGATCGAAGGCTCTGGAGCACATCGGGCCGTACTTAGGTTTTCAAGCCACTTATACTGATGGGTCCAAGACGGAGGTAGGCGTTGGTGCTGCATTTGTGAATGACCAAGTCACCCGGTCCTTTTCTTTACCGAAACACGACTCAGTTTACACGTCCGAGCTCGTTGCAATCAGTAAAGCCCCATGCTTCATCGAAGTTGGTGAGAGCAACTCACACGTGATCTTATCCCATTCTTTGAGCAGCCTGTTGGCTCTGACAACCTATAACCCACCTTGTCCCCTTATACAGGATGTTTTACTTCGCCTGACAGCGCTGGATCTTGCTGGTAAAACTGTCGTCTTATGTTGGATACCGAGTCATGTGGGTATCGCAGGTAACGAGCGTGCTGACGCGGCCGCAAAACGGGCAGCGCGTGCATCTTGCACCCGTTCTTTACCCTTGCCGGCAAGGGACTTTTACCCTGCAATCGCGACCTTTGTAAAGGGGAAATGGCATCGCTGCTGGAACGCCATTGTTAACAATAAGTTAAAAATGATCAAGCCACAACTGGGTCTATGGTCTTCAAGCTCACGTAAGTTGAGACGCAAAGAAGTAACCCTCAGCAGATTACGAATTGGCCACACGCACGCAACACATAGCTACCTTTTGTGCGGTGAAGAACGCCCTACACGTCCTCGCTGTGATGCGCCACTTACGGTTCGCCACGTTATTCCCTCTTGCCCACAGTTCAGAGAAGAGCGGGCACTTTACTTCGGAGGAGATGTGTCAGGTCTTACCTTTTCAGACCTTATTGGTGACGATTCTCGCATGCTTGGCACCGGACAGCTGTTTTCATTTTTGAGAAGCGTAGGATTCACAACCATTTATACACCACGGTAAACACTTAGCTGCTATGAGCGCAAAATGACCCTAGAAGTCGACGCGCCCTAAAACACCAATCACCATAATCATCATCTAGGTGCCAGACTGCTGAGAATATATCTCACTAAACTGTGTGAGAGCTGAATACCGTGTTCTTAGTATAGAGCGTAATCGCGTCAGCTGTTTGACGGCTGATGTGATTCACTGAGAGCCTGAGTAAAGGACATTCAGTTCAATGATAACACGCACGGAATGCGAACCACGAGACATGCCCTCTCCTGCTGCACCATACAAATTAGCTCCAGCAATGCATGACGACATACGTGCGCCACGCGCATGACAAGTAACATGGTTGTTTCGCCAGGCCTCGTTGAAATACAACGTGCATACAGCCGGTCCAAACGACGCACTGACGATCAAGGTGACCACCAAGCCCAAAATGAACCAGCGGGAATGTCTGAAGCATACCATAGGTGAGTCGAGTGACGTGCTTGCCTGGTGACTCCTCTAGCTCTCTCTTGTCTCACCTGGTCCTCAGACCACTTGTCAGCCTCTGCTCGGTTTGATCTTAAATCTGTAGTGCGATGCGAGGGAATGTCATGGGAGGAGGATCTTGACCAGATTGCAGTGTTCCTGTTCTGTGAAAGCATCAGAAGACACTGCAGTGCCTAGTGCAATTAAAAAAGTGTTCGAAAGCATCTCTCGTTCAACGGGTTTTACATATGACGGCATGCCTGCCTTGTTGTTATGAAAACATGGCAATGTTGTGCTCTTTAAGACATCTGCGTCAGCTACCTGAAGGAGGATAGCGAAACCAATATGGCTGTGGTTGAGCTGGACATGGTCAGCGGGTTCATTCCCAACAAGGGAAGTCTGAATGACCTCAAGCAGAACGTCGAGTTGGGTAAGTTGGAGTTAATGGCACATAATATACATATGCCTTCCTGTTGTCATAGTTATCTGTTTTCACTGACAGGTCGTCAGATCTGGGCTTTCTGTTTTCACCAGCAGTTCGTCGAATGAGAGTGGTCTGTTTTAACAAGTAGGTCGTCTGATCTGAGTTGTCTGTTTCCACTAGCAGGTCGTCTGATCTGAGTTGCCTGCTTCCACTAGCAGTTCGTCAGATCTGAGTTGTCTGTTTTTAACGAGCAGGTCGTTAGATCTGAGTTGTCTACTTCCACTAGCGGATCGTCTTATCTGAGTTGTCTGTTTCCATTAGCAGGTCGTCAGATCTGAGTTGTCGGTTTTTAACAAGCAGGTCGTCAGATCTGAGTTGGCTCTGCCAACACGAGGAACACATTCTTTATCTAGCAATTAGACATGGCATGAAGTTTAAATCTGAGTTGCCACGCTCTTTAGATAAGCTGTAGGAGTTATCTACCATTTCAGAGGCCTATCATGTTTTCTGACGACCGGAAACATGCTCCATTCAGATCTGAAGCGCTGGGAGGTCAACAACAACAAGGTGGTCTTCTATTTCGACTCGCTGGGAGGAAAGGAGCGCTGTTTCGGCATCATCGTACAGCGGGAGCAGGAGGTGGAAGATGCCAAACGGGCGGTGGCCAGCGCATATGATTATTACCAGACAGAGTTCGCCCGGAGCGCGGTGAGAAACAAATCCTTACGCAAACGGCATCAATCTGCATCAGGCCGCTACCTATGCAAAACACGATATAACTAAGCGGTTTGTTAGCAGGCCGGTAAATTAAACCTTTCATGCAGCCAAATGTCACCTGATTATATTTTCTCTTGACGCGTATGGTCCGATTAAATACACAGCGAGACGCATTTACGAGCATAGTAGCATGGTTCTGCTTTTCCCGTGGTCGGCTGTTGAAGTTGGCTGATCGCAAGTGTGCTTGGCCGTCCGATACTGTATGACGCAGCTGAATTGCTTTTGGGCCCTTTCAGTCGTACGCCCTGGACGTCAACTGCGACACAGTGCTGCTGTAGCCAATAGCCGATTACAACGCCTGTGTCCGAGAACGACCAGCAAGGAGGTAACGCTGCCTGGGCCGCCGTGCCCTGTCCAGCTCAGTAGGACGCGCGGTCCGCCAACGACACGGGCTGAGGACGCTTGTGATTATTGGGAAGGACATAGACAACAGTCTTCCGGAATTTTTCTGATGGGTTAATTCACTGATATCACATTGATGGCATCCAGAGTTTGCAGTGATGCGTAGCTGCGTCTCGCACGTCCTTGTCAGTGTGATCACGGTTTGGTGCTAAGAACAGTTGTGGACGCTGTTGGCTACCACCCGAGCACCACGCGTCTTTGAATGGACACGAGCTTTGACTTATTACAACGCCGGCCGGTCGCCATAACTGTCTGTCTGTAAATAAATAAATAAATGTAAATAACTTTCTGTCTGTAGCTTTCTGTCTGGTTTGTTCTTTGATAATCATACCGTGAAGAATATAGATGAGGGCGAGCCGAGTAAAGTTACTGCAATCACGCTGCTGGATATCGCATTATCAGCCGTTGAACTGCTACGCTTTGCTCGCGCTTTAAGCTCTCACTTCACTCGGCATCTCTGCCGTGTGCTGAACCTTGCTTTTCAGGCAACTTTGTGCACAACCCGGTCGATCAATATATAGTCGGAGACGTTTACTCGCTGTAAAATTGAAAATAAATGCAACAATGTCCGTCAGTAGCATTTTATTGACGACTATGCTGCGGCAGAGTGCAGCGCCGCCGCCTGCCTGGAGGCATTTACACGTTGAATGCGCCGATGTTTCGTGCGAGGCTGAGTAAATGATAGGTCCGCGCCAGGCTGGCCTCTCTGGCAATGCTCTCACTGGGTTATCTTGAAGCAGGCACGCGCCCGGCGTTGATCTGTGTGCGTGACAAGCTACATTGCTCAGCCCGTCGCATTCGTTGTATGGGGTCTATTTAAGCATGGTGGCTGTAAATACGGCCATTTCCTATCAGCCTGCGCCGATAGTCCCGCATGTTTCTCTGTCGGTTTGTGTGGACTCGCGTGCTAGAAAATGAGTACCACTGTAAAACCGGGCAAGCTAGCTGTTCTGTTTTTGTGAATCTGGCGGACGAGTGTCGTCCACGTAGACCGGGGATGGCCAAGTACGGTAAAGATGAACACCGCACGCCGCTTGCGTGCACATTGGGATCTGGAACGCGGCTGGAGGCGTGTTCACCGAGCAGGCAGGTTTATTACTGGAGCTGATCATGCCCTAGCAGTCCGGGTTGCCGGCGTGCAGCCATTATCTGAGCGGTGAGTTGGTCGGCACCGCTCCCGCTGCCGCCCGCCGCACTCTTTTGCTCGCCTGAAAGCTCTCACTGTCTGTTGCACGAGCTGTCTACAGAGGCTAAGAGTCTGTCCCCCTAAGGCTACAGGATGTGATTCCAACTTATCACTGCGCGTCCCAGGGTGCCACGAATTCGTCCGGCCTGCCGTGTCTCATTCCCATCCTATGTTGTTGTATGCTATACTCCTTTACACAGCCTGTTCGAAAGCACCTTCGGTTAGAGCTCTCTGGGATGAACCGCTGGTGAATGAGTTACCCATATCTCTGTCGGGGAAAGCCGGAAACGCATGTCAGCAATAACTCTGTAGCTCTGGTGCAAACCCACGCCACTTCCCAGCTGAAAATATTTTCTTACATGTGCTAGGTCAAAAAATTCGACCCACGAAAATATTTGTGTCTAAACCAGCTCGCAAAGAACAGCGTTTTCACGCCGCCATAGCGTTGATGCCATATGACTTAGTCCCATGATGACGTCACGACATCATTACCCAGTATGCAGTAGAGCGGGGTTTGGGTCAAGCAAGGAGCGTTAAGAAACGGAGCATATAGTGTTGCCTGTCACATTAACCGTCATCGTTAGTTTCAGACCATGTGACGCTGAATCTGATCAATAATGCGATGGTATGCCCATGAAGTCACACAGTCATCCAGGAAAGGATCTTCTGTGCAATCGCGAAAGGCGGCAGCATTTGCCCTGTTGTTTTCCTCACTTGCTGATCTGAGCCCCGTGCAGTGCAACACAAGCGTGATTACCTGCACCCCAGGGCCCGTGCTAAACCTGCTGGTTGTGGCTGAGTGGCCGGGACTAGCAGTGGTTGTGCTGGTTGGGTGTGAAACATCGGTACCGGCAACAAGGTGGTGCCGACCCGGGCTGACAGAAAGTGAAACGGGTCCAGAGTGGAGCGGATCACGGAGAATGAGAAACACTCCGTTGTCAGGTCGCACAGTATGTTGTTTTTCACGATGCTTGATTTTGAATGCTATTTGTGTGAGGCGTTTCGGCCTGTTTGGGCCATTTCACGCCGGAAAGATATTTTGAATCGGTGTTTTTATGTAGTTGAAAAAACACGCACGTTTACTGACTTTTACACTGCTTGAAGCAAACCAGTAAGTCTGAGAGAGTTGAAGGGAGCGCTAAGCAAGTAAGGATGGTCATCGCCAAGAACATTCTGTTCAAAAGAATTCGGCATTGTGCCTACAATAGGTTTACATATCTTTGCTTTATTGGTGCTATTTGGTGCACGCAGAAGTAATCTGTTTGACCCAAAGTGGATGATCGCACAGCTGACAGTGGGCCCGGGGGTAACGTAAGTGTATGTGTGGAGTGGAGTGTGTCCAATTCGTTGATCCAATTCGTACAGCCGACACCTCCTCTAAACACTCTGTACGGTGTGCTCATGGCCAAGTGATAACGCGGTGTTTAATCTTATATAGTTGCCTTATGGTTATATCGGTCTACCGCCGTTGCCAAAAATTTTTGTCGGAATGCGATTAAAAGATTTCGCAGATGCATGAGAAGCCGGGCTGTCAAAGCTTTCCTTGGCTGGTCGGTCAGCTTGCTCTTTACCCGTAATGCCCCTATGTCCCGATCCCACAGAAATTTAATGTGCATGCCCTGTGTGTTTAACATATGATGGAGACTGAAGATTTTAACGAGGAGGTAGTGAGTGAAGTCTGAATCGATAAGAGGTTGCACAGCTTTCTTCAAATCCGCAAAGAAAACACCATTGTCTTCGTTGTACAGGTGTGTTATTGAGTGTGCTGTAATGCGAGAAGACGAGCAAGTAATTCGGCCAAATATACTGACGTGCCATCCGGTAACCGACAATTTTTATGGTAATGTTCAGTGCAAATTGCCGCACATCCGGTGTGGTAATTGGCTATGGAGCCATCGGTGTAAACAAAGCTGCTTTTTCGATTATTGGCCACAGGAAATCGTAAAAAGATGTTTGGGATCGTCAAAAAGAAACAAAACTTTTCATGGGATGAACTGTCATGGTGGTGCTATTACAGCAGGTGGCACGGAAGAGTGGGGTAATACAAAATGAAGAGTAGTGCAGTAGACAGTAGTCCGAGACCTTATCGTCAGTTCTGACCAGTGTTCTGCAGGCCCTCTCCAGTCGTGGTGAATGCAAGCTAAGATATGCATAGATTTAAAGCTGGGTGATTAGAATTTTGTCGCCATTTTGCTACGTGTCGTGATGTGTTTTCCATTCGTCGAAGAGCAAGAGGCGTAGCGTACGCGTCCATTTCAAGCGCTGAAAATGGAGTAGTGCGCAGAACTCCTCGAGTCATTCGCAAGAACACACTTTACATACTGTGTATAGGTTGAATAGTGTGCTGGCTTCCTCCTGCATATACCACCGAGCGATATTCAGTTATCGGAAAAACTATGGATTTATATAGAAGTAATAACTTCTCGAGGTCGGCACCCTACCGTACCCCGGGAATGCTTCTAAACAAATGTAGTCATCTTAGGTAATTGGAGCGGACATATTTCATGTCCTGTCGCATTGATAATCTTGGGTCGAGTTAGACACCAAGCAATTCAACATACGAAGCGAAAGGAACGTTGTGTCTATCTGCTTGCAGCCGGAAATTATGAGTACTACGCATATTTTTGCTCAAAATCATAAGTGCAGATTTGGGAGTGGCGAAATGGAGCCCGTGTCGCTCTGACCACCGCTGCACGTTGTTCCGGTCGGATTGGAGCCGTGGCAGCGAATGGTCATACTCAATGTCCGGACACCAGATCGCGCTTTCGTCCGCAAAAAGTGGGAGGAAATACCCGATGGTAATAAGCCAAATAATTCGTTTAACATGAGATTGAAGAGCTTCGGTGAGATCCAGCTCCCCTATGGGATGCCGTTATCTAGATGGTGAGCACCAGAAACGGCGGAGCTGCACTGCACACGAAATGGTCTGATGACGAACAGAAAAAACCATGAGGTAATGTGCTGAATGGCCTTTACTCCCTAACTGTTAGAGCTTGAAAACAAGTGTACATTTAAACCATGTCGTAGGCTCGGCTTATGTCAGGAAGACAGCAGTCGTGTAATGACGATGTTTAAATGAACGTCTATTGCCAGTTTCAGTCGGCTGATGTGGTCTATTGTGCTGTGATTATGTCTAAAACCACAGTCGTTTTTCTAAGCAGGCAGTCTTGCTCTATAACGCAGGAGATCCATTTCACTACCATTTGCCCAAAAAGTTTTTTTTCTAGGGAGCTTGTGAGTGCATTGGGGCAACTATTTGATGGGTCTTTGATGTCTTTCCCTGGTTTTGGAAACAGAATCATGATGGTGTCTCTCCATGTCTCAGGATAGGCGTGGAAGGGCCGCAAATCATTAAAACCCGTCAAAATAAGATGAAACATGCTTTCAAGTAGATTGCAGAAAGGAATAGTGTCATTGATCATTGCCTACCGAGGTGTCCCGGGCGTACCTTCTTGCATTTTGGAGTTCCAGGAAAGAAAATGGTATATTACAGTTTTCTGTACTATCGGAAGCAAATCGATGAGGGTGTAAAGGAAAACAAAATGATGTACTACCGTCTGCCGTATTTTCGGAAGCAAATCAATTAGGGTGTAAATAAAAAGGAACTTGCGCAAGACCCACGAAGCCTGCTTGGTATTTCTGGGGGAGCTACACTAAGCAAGGCTTTCGGCAAGAGCATTGGGTATAAGAGGTGCTGCCGTAATGATCTGGTTATTAACACGCAATCGGGTGCGGGTCAACTTGAACCCCATGAGGGTTTTTCAAGAATGGTTTCCGAGTGGCGCGTTGTAGCCGCGCCACAATTTGCATCTCTGTAAACAACTGAACAGCAGATTCTTTGGTATGACCAATTTGGATGTACCTTGTAAGGTCGCTGACCTATGGCAGGTCAAAGACAGGCCATGGTTTCAGCGAAGTAAGTTTCTAGGGACTCGCTTAATCTGGTGGAACAACGGAGTGTTAGACAAAGCCATACATCTCTGAGATGCCCTCTTAGGCAACATAAATAATGAATGAGCAAATCATATTGACCTAAGGTGAGATGTGAAGGTCAGACCAAGATCAAAGCCAAACTGTTTTATTACTCGAGGGCTCGTTGTATCGAATAGGTTCTGGTGCTCATTTCAAATCTACTGACAGCAGGAACCACATTATACATCTTCCATGGACCTCCTAGAGGTCAGGATAGGTCATTGACCCGAAATGATCCAAGTCAAGATTTTGTTTTCAGGAACATGCTGCCTAGCGTAATCTTTGTCGCTTATTCAAATGCAAAACTTATAGCAGGCTTATGTGATTTCGGTCA